ATGCAGTATGTCCCCAAGTCAATATTGCATATGATAAATTGCTTTGAATTAGTGCATAGTAAGCCGAACACATTACTTTAACTGAAGTATTATTCCTTAATCGCTTAAGGGAATATATAGATTTATTGATTTTCTTTGAAACCTCGTCACAGTGAAGATGGAAATTTAATTTTGTATCAAGAAAACATCCAAGAAAGGATGCACCTGAGAGTCCACAAATGGCGGTATTTGCTTTAAGTGTTAACCGGCAGAATACAGTGCGATCAATATTGAGTTGCTGCGCCGCTTCAATAAATTATGACGTTAGTAATCATTTGCCGCAACAGGCCTGGTGCACCAATACTAAAACATAACCTTAAAGTAAACTTTAGACGTTTAACCATATTTAACCTAAATCAACGATTTAACCACCTTGTAAGTTTCCAAATTATATGGAACTACACGAATAGCAAATTACTACAAAAATTGAAACGATTTTATTTCTTTTACAACTCGTTAATATCGAAGTAATTGGATAAATTACGTGCACACTATAACAACTGTTCGAAGTGCTTGCCACCATTATTAAGACAGGGATCCACTCTTTTCTTCATGTTTTCGAAGACGGCATGTAAGTGCTGTTGCGTAATGTTTCAAACGGTAGCTTCTATACCTGCTAGTAATTCGGCAATGGTGTGTAAACGGTTTCGAATACGTTGCCATCTCGTAAATTTGCATGCAATAATTTACGGTTACTTTAAAGGATAGAAGTGCAATTTTCTCCAGGCAATAGCGTCACACGTTCCGTATGAGATGCCCGTTAGTGGGATACATTGTCGCAGCTGCTTTTTCCGACTTTGCTCAAGACGAGCAAGAGCATCTTTTACAACCTCCTTATTAGCAATCACTAAGCGGCCAGGTGACTTCCCAGAAGCAAGACTTCCTGTATGTTAAACCGCTCAAGTAGACGATGAGGATTTCGGCGTAGGTATATTGTTGTAATCCTCGTCATGGTTGACAATCGTTTATCGAAACTCCTGTATAGACAAACGTATCGAGTACTCCCAAACTCCACTTTCGTCTTTAGTCCCATTACGGAAACAGGACAGCAAACGCACCTTATTCTCTTCTAAAGTAAAAGGCTTGTCGGAGTAAACCTATTGCCTATTACACGCTACAACTAAAAAAACGTTTGTTTGTAATTTACAAGTAATTTACCCACCTTGTAATATTCGAAAAAAAACTGGTAGTCTTGAAAAAAGCCGTTTTGAAAGGGACGAAAGTATTCTAATAAGAATCAAACAAATCATAGTTTTGGTTTGTGAAATTATAGCACAGCTTACAAGTAAGCTGTGATTATAGGTTATGTTTTGTATTGGTACACATATACCTGGTTGCGGCAAATGATTACTAATGTGATATTTTATAAGAGCGGCGCAGCATATGATTATTGATCTCCCTGTATTAGTTTTGCTTTCGTTCAATTTTAATCTATTAGAGAGACACCATTTAGTCACATGTTTAATATTGTTCTGTACTTCACGAATAGCAATATTTATATCTCGATCAACTGCAACCAGTGTAGCATCATCGGCGTAAAGAATGCAGTTGATTTTAGAAGATAATGCCAATGGAAGGTCATTAATATAGATTTAGAACAAGACAGGGCCTAGGATAGATCCTTGAGGGACGCCATGTTGCATGGGTAGCTTGTCAGATAAAGTACTGTTAAATATTACGTGCTGATGTCTTCCCTTCAAAAATGACGAGATTAGCCCTACACTTCGATCTTCAAAATTATAAGCTTTTTTTAACTTACGTGATAAAATTTGGTGCGATACACAATCAAATGCCTTTGAAAGATCAACAAAACCCGCAACTAAATGACGACGTCGCTCGAAACATTCCAAAGCGCCGTTCACAAAACTAATAATTGCATCTGCAGTACATCTGCATTTACGGAAACCATACTGCTGGTCGAAGAAAAGATTATTTGTTTCAAAGAAATCAACAATTTGTTTGAGCAGAATTTTCTCAATAACCTTGCTAAACACAGGCAGCTTAGAAATAGGTCGGTAGCTTCCAAAGTCATTTGCAGCATTCCCTTTTTTGAATAAAGGTATCACCAAAGCTAACTTAAGACAATCAGGAAATACGACGCGACGCGCCTCGTTTGGATTATGTATATTTTGCTACTTTTAATTATCAGCTGCAATTAAAAAAAAACTATATTCCATAGGTAATTGATTTTCGAGAAAGGAATACTTTGTTGTTGTGTTGTATTTGGGGTGCACCACGTCACGTTCACCGCCGTTATGTCTTTGAATATAACTAATTTTATATTCAAAGGTTATGTTGAATATTCACTCTAAACGTTTCTACGAAAACGTGGCTTGACATGAAATTCGCGAGATCCTCAGATTTGGCTTTCGCAGGTGGATTAGCTGCGTTCTATTTCTCAGGCGCATTATTTGCTTGTGATTTCGATGCTACTTGCGGATCCGTTAATGTAGCGTAGAACACTTACAAATAATGCATTTTACGATGGCGCGGCATCTTTTGGCGCTATGCCCACCCCGCAGGCATCGAAAGCAAGCCCCTTTCTTTTTTGCTGTATCTTTGCGCTGTTCTAGCGAAAAATTTTGAGCTTTAACACATTGTACCTACTTTCATAATTTTTATCGCAAAAAACACAGCTCAAACCATCCTGAACCCCACGGCTGTCGCTATCGGTTGAGCGTTTTGTGACACTGCCTTCTTCTTAAACGTAGGACTTAATCTACAGTACGAGTAATTCCCGGATTGTTTACGTACGCTAGCTTTCCCTCCCGAAGAGATACCAAAACCCTCAGCAGCGAGTGCAATGCGCACCTAGCCCTCTACTTCCCTTTTTAGGAAGGTCATTCAATTGGCTAAACGCCGCGCCGCGCACTTCTCGGTGGTTACGCCTAGCGTTTCCAGCACTCTCATCTCAACTGGGTTTCCAATTTATGGTAGAGAGATACTAAGTCAATTTCTCGCGTCGAAGTCGCGTTCTGAATAATTAACATCAACAATTCGCGTACATATCTATAATTCACATTTTATCAATTTCTTGACGAAATTACAAAAAACCTTGTATGCAACACGGTGCAAATTTTGTCTTTGGCGCACACGACGTGCTGGTCCAATTTGCTGCGCTCATTGGACAAATACACGTTTAGTGCGCCAAAGACAGTCAATTTGCAACTTGTTACATAAATAGCTATGTACAACTTGCTTATATGTAAACGCTAGCGCTATTCCGTATAAATTACCCTTAATACTCCAATGTGTTTTGGAGAGTTAATGTAATTCATATTTAGGCCTTCCATTGGCCAAACTCCTCTTACCTTCCGTTGTAGAATAGCAGTCATTCCAAAAAGTTAATAGAAATTTAGATACATTTATTATTATTAAATCTTGAAATAATGAAAACACAACAAATTCTGTCAACTACTCTAAAAGAGCGACACCCTAAATAAACCTACTAGTCAAAGATATTTTAACCTAATAAACAATATGAATGACCTATTCCTAAAGTTAAAGAAACAAATATAAATCTAATAACCGTTCGAAATGACGCACACAAATTAAATACTCGTAAGTTAATTTTAATTCAGTCTCTTTCGTAATCAAATTGAAGTAATGAAACAATGTACCTTTTTTAAAATGTTGTAATTGTAGCAGTCGCTGACCTTAACCGGATGGATCTTTTAACGACTCGTTTCCAATTTCCACTGGTCTGCTCTTTGGAAGATTTTGCGTTGTGGTTTTTGCATTGCAATAAAAGATTAAGGAAGGAGCTTATGTATTATTAGCTAGGATCCTATTAGGCTTCTCAATATGGCGGACGTTCATACGCGCAGTGGTGTACACACATTTAATATTTTTAATTTTTTGGCGGATAGTACTGAAATTACATACATTTTACTTCAGACAGATTCCTCACTTCTTATAAACGAAATCATGTATCTCGCCATTCACTGTCTAAAGGATCTCTTGTAAAGTAGATGTATTTTAAAATGTTGTTTAGACAGTTTTACACATTATTGCTACGGCAATGCATCTGTATCACAACCTGCAAAATAAATGAAATTAAGTATCGTGAAGTAAGACCATTTTAAGAAATATAACTTGGTTACCACCTATGTAATTTTCGTTTCTTCTGTAGCTTTTGATTTCGTTACATTACACGATTTGCAGCTAACCTGGCTAACCATTACGTTTCACTGGGTATTATCAAAAGTTTTAAATCAAGATAATTTTTGTTTTATTACACTAATAAACTATCTTAGTTCATTTGTGTTTAATGTTATTAATTATTATTAACAAATCGCTAGCTTAGTTGAGGGCGTTTCAGATGTTGTATTTATTTATTTATTTATTAGGCCAATTCTCACCTTACATAAGCGACGCGTAGCCACGCGACTTCGCACGTCGTGACGCATCGCAGGGCAATTTCTAGGTTCAATTCCCACAAAAACAGCGCAGCGCGGTTCAACAAATTGTCCCTTTGGGGAGGATCGGAGGCAACAAACGTCTCGGTTCAGTTCAGTGTTAGTGCTTCATCGAGTAGTTCGTCTAGTGATGAGGAACTGCTTGTGGCGGTGGATGTTGAACAAGAAACTAAAAAAGAAAAGACGAGGACATACTGGGTGCACATAATATGAGGCGAATTCCATTTACTGTACGAGTGTTTACCTGAAAGACTCTAAAAATGTTTGGATAGTTCTTTTATTTTACACAGGCCTTTTTCTACAATTGTCACCACGTCAGCAGCAAATGCTGCCTTTCAATAAAATTCTCATATAGCCCTCAGCAGCGTGACGCTTCATAGAACGCTCTTGTGACTATTCGAGCCTTTTCACATGGACCACTTTGTGGCACTTCTTGGAAGCGCTACCGAGTAGTGCGTTTTGCAGAATCATGGTTTCATATGGAGCTACCTGTCATATAGGATCGGACTACGCATGCCCGATGTCAACGAGCGGTACGATGGCAGTACGTACTTGACGATTAATGAATAAAGAGCTATCGTAACCAACGTCCACGGATTACTATTTATTATTAACGCCTCTACCCTCGGCTAACATAACGGAACCGAAATACATTACATGGTGGCATACGGTAAAACCGACGACGCGTGTCTATAAAGTAATAACGTGGTACGCACGAAGATAAGCGAATTCGGCATTCGCGAATCGCGGTTTACGTGCGATAAGAAAAACGGTAGCAAACAAGTGTGCGCGAGGCTTTACTCGACGCGCCGTACGTACTTACTGGAAAGTAGGGTTTACTTCTTTCAAAATATTATAAAATAATTTCGTTACTAAATGGCGGATTCGGCAATAACACCGGGAATAATGCACTTTAAAGGCAATCTTGCCGCAAATTGGCGATTATGGAGGCAGAAATTTGATTTATACATGCTTGCCAGCGATAAATCAAAAAAGAACGATGAAGTTAGAGTTGCAATTTTACTTAATTTTCTGGGCGACGAAGGACTTCAAATTTTTAATACCTTCGAATTCGATGGAGAAAGTGATCGGAAAACATTATCAGTAGTGCTACAAAAATACAGTGAATACTGTGAACCGTTAAAAAATCTAGTTTATGAACATTTTAAATTTTTTAAGCGCGAACAACTAACGGGGGAGACGGTTGATCAGTTCGTCACAGCCCTTAAACAACTTTCGTTATCGTGTGAGTTCAAAGAACGAGATGTAATGATTTTGGATAGAATTATTGTGCTTGGAATTCGTGATACGCGTACCTACACAAGCAAAATTGTTACAAACAGATGGGTTAACGCTGGACAAAGCGTTATCTATATGTCGCGCTATCGAAAGCAGCTCGATACAACAAAAAGAAATCGCGGGCGTTTCAAAAAACGAACTATTAGTGGATAGTGTCAATAGTTACGGTCATAAACCAAAAAACAGCGAAGTTTTTAATAAAAATAAAGACAGATACCACTATAAAAATAAAAGTGTAAATTTTTATAATGGAAACTATCCGAGAACGAGCCATTCGGAGGGTAGTTATGACAACTATCGAAATTATCGGCAAAACGCAGGTAGCAAGTGCCAAAATTGTGGCATGATTCATCCACAAGGTAAGTGGCCTGCTTTATTTCGTATCTGTAGTCGCTGTAACAGGAAAGGTAACTACCGCAAATTGTGTAGAAGTAAACACATTCATGAAATAAACGAATATGGATGTGATTTGTCCCAGTCGGATAGCGATTGTGACCCATTTTCTGACTACAATTCCGAATGTGATGAAAATTCGGAGATTGTTTGGACAATTTCATCAATTGAACCGACAAGCGTTAATAAAACGAGCCATTTAGTGGAATGGTATGAGACAGTTTTCGTTAAATCTTGTGATGTGAAATTTAAAATTGACACTGGAAGTCATGTAAATATTCTAAATTACACGGACTTTAAAAGACTAGGTGTTTCTCGCAATATGAAATAAAACAGGCTCCAAACTTTCTTCGTATTCGGGTCATAATATAGAGACAATCGGGTTAATAATAGTATATTATTATACGAGCATATAAAGTGTGCGATTATGACACGAGTTCCATTCCTTCGATTGAAGAGTTCAAATTGCCGGGATGACCGAAGCCGGGATTGCCCATCGCCGGGTTTAGAGTCGGCGAGTGTTGTAATTTTTCCGAGTGTCATAATCGCCTTTATATGCAAGTAAAATACGCTATTTTATCTACGACTATTTAATTAAATAGAAAATGCGGCATATGAATCAGTTTGAAACGTAGCAACTTCATAGCGGTAGCGCAATGTACGCCTATGGTTTGGTTTGCGTTCGTTCATTCGTTGACGGTATTTAACCTCATATCTAATTCAATGTATCGCAATGTACCTAAGTGGCGAACTAAATATGCAATTTATCTTAAGTTCCCAGAAGTCATTAATTCAACACGTAAGATTATTGCTAATATAAATGGTTGTCATTCATTTTTCATTGTTTTAGATTGTGACATAACCTATGGAAGTAAGGTGGATATTTATTGTGACGTAACTATGTACAACTATTCTCTAAATCCGATCCCGATGTCTCAATTATGCCTGCAGAAATTGTTACACAGCTGCCAAATGGAATACAATATTTTGTTTCGCATACATAATCTAATTTTTCAAAGACTTCGTTACGCTTCTCCGACCTGCATCCAAGAAGTTTCTTCCTCTTTTAGAAACGAAGTTTAAGCAATGAAAGCATAGTTTTATTGCAAATTTAAGGGCAAGAGGTGTTTTTTATTAGTTAACGTACATATTGTAGCCATCTATTTAAGTAATTTGGTCAATGCCTAGTATGTAAGACCTGTTACGAATTATCAATTCTTAAAATAAATCATGCAAAACGGTGGTTAAGTGCTACGACAATTTGTATCCTTTATTGTCAACGAGTTTACAATATGTTATTGTTTTGTATCGTGGCACAATTTCGACAATACCACATATGTTGTACGAAACATATTTCTCTTCGTAAAAGGCTGAAACTTATAGGTTATACCTAGCATAATCTTCAAATGGAGCTTCCGATAATCCATTATGCTACAAATAATGCCTTGTGAATATGAAGGTATAGATACTTTAAATACAAACGAAAACCTTATTCATGCTCGTGCAGAATATTTGTATCAGCGAAGGGATCTGTCGTTAAGTAACGTTGCCTGAACTTGCCAATGACTTCAGGTATTTTACAAGTTTATTTCATCCCATTTTATAAATATCGCACATATCTCGTCATAGGGGTGGATCAAGTTCCTGTATTAATTGTTTTTCAAATAAATCTACAAAGTAAAGCCTGTCTCACAATTGACGCCAACGTGAACGCTAACGCGAACGTGAACGTGAGCATTTAATTAAAACATGAATATTTACTATTTCCATTCACCTATAACGCAACGGGAACGTGAAAACGTGAAACAAACGCGACAGTTGGTCAACTTTTATCTTTCCCGTTCCCGTTGGCGTTTTAAACATGCGCGCGCTTGCGATCCAGCCACATAACCTTTAAAGACCAAACTTAACTATTTTTGTACGAAGTATTGCATGATTATCCGTTTGTTGAATTGAATAGAATAGTCTGTGACTACCACAGAACACATTTTAATAAACAAAATATTCCGTGACAAAACTTAACACTCCAGGAGCGTAACGTTAATTGTGAGACTGCGAATTTGTTCACGTTCACGTTACCGTTTGCGTTTCCGTTGGCGTTTACGTTTGCGTCAATTGTGAAACAAGCTTTAAGCGTACGTAACCCGAAATCTCTCATTTCTAACCTAAGAAATGCTTAATTCAAAACAAAACTGACAGGTAGTACATACCAGATGGGCGGTTCTATTTTTAGTAGGTACATATGCAATTATGAGAAATATATAGTGACATAAAGTAGTTGTATATAAGGATTTTAGAGGAACCGATAATAATGCATATCATAATTCCCTAAAATATAGTGACGTTATTTGAGCGTTATTTAATAGTCGTAGATAAACGTAGATTATTGTACGTATAAAAATGTTATGCATAATCTATCGTTTTATGTTTTAAGTGCGCGGGAAAACCCTTCGATTTTGGGACTTAAATCGTGTATTGACTTGAACATTTTAAGCAAAAGTTCTACTTCATCCCCACAATGAACTGTATGTTCCACTCAACTGAGTGACAAAAATAATGTGATTTCCAAATAGGTATAAACAAGTGTTTTTCTATTTCGATGTGGAAACAATACCGAAACCGTACTTGATTGGCCCAGTTTGCGTGCGTTTCGAGACAGAAATGATGCTGAAAGAAATAGAAAAAAAAATTTTTTTATTTTGTTGGATTGGTACCCCTCGCTTTTTTGCCGTCAACGGTATCCGTCATATCAAAACTAAACATAACCTGTAAAGTGTAAATAACGTACGAAGAACTTGACCGATTGTATTAATTCCTAATAATTTTTAATATAACTCCAAAGGGTAGAACTTTTTTTATTTTTACTTAGCGTAGTGCCAGCAATACATTCTTGCTTACTTTTTGAACTCCCTTCTCGGCCAGCAAGTTTTCAAAAATTTTGTACTCCTCGTACTTTACTTTTGATTTTACCAAATAATTAAAAGTTTGAAGTTTGAAAATACAGTAATCAGGTTAGCCAACGTGAAAATAAATGAACTGTGTATATTACCAACATACACTGAATGATAGTTTAAAATTACCTAACAACGCCTAAAGGCAATATTTATAATTTGTATATTTTATTATTTAAAATAAAGTCGAAATAGAAAAAATAGTATAAAGCACACGTGTCATTTGTCTACTTGTCGCACTCGGCTTTTGCCGCATTCGCGTAGCGGCTTATGCGGCAAACTACCTCGTGCGACAATCTTCGTCAAATGACACTTGTACTTTAATATACTATTACGGGAATCGGTAAGGTGTCAAAAACATATAATATTACGCTTAGTGAGGACGCTATTCCACACATATCCGCTACGCGAAAAATACCATCAGCCCTGAAAAATAAAGTCAAACAAAAACTCGACGAAATGGTGGCTGAGAATATTATCGTTCCAGTCACCGAACCTACTGATTGGGTGCACCCCATGTTATTGCTCCCAAATCAAACGGCGATATTAGGGTATGCATGGATCCCAGATCTCTCAACACATACATCAAACGAGAAATTTTCCAAATTCCAACCCAAGATACGCTATTTTCGGAACTGTCGGGGGCGCAATATTTCTCATTACTAGATGCTTCAAACGCATTCCTTCAAATTCCGCTAGATCATAAAAGCTCACTTCTATGCACGATATCTACTCCCTTTGGTCGCTGCAGATACTTACGGCTTCCATACGGTTTAAGCTCTGCCCCGGAAAGAGAATTACAAAATCGGGATTAACGTTAAATTTAGAAAAATCCAAAGTAGGAGTCACCAAAGTTAAATTGCTAGGACATAATATAAGCGCGAGAGGTATCGAAATCGACGACAGCAAAATAAAAGCCATCAGTGAAATGAAACCACCCACTAACCAAAAAGACCTGCAACGCTTTCTTGGCATGATTGTGTACTTATCAAAATATATACCTAACCTATCTACAGAAACTGCACTTTTACGTAAACTGCTATCAAACAAAGTAGAATGGCAATGGTCCTCCAACGAACAACTATCTTTCGATAGACTCAAGCAGTTAGTGACGTCATCGCCAATATTAAGATACTTTGATCCTAATATTGACATCGTTCTCTCTGTGGACGCTAGTCCTTTCGGCATTGGCGCAGTCATCATGCAAAAAGGACATCCAATAGAATATGCCTCAGTATCGTTGACTCCCACCCAACAAAGATACAATCACATCGATAAGGAACTTCTAGCCCTCGTATTTGGTTGCGAGCACTTCCATTATTACCTTTTTGGCCGAAAATTTCAACTAGAGACTGACCACCGACCTTTAATAGGTTTACTCAAAAAACCTCTTGACGAAATGTCACCGAGAATACAACGATTGGCCCATAGACTTCTGAGGTATACAATACGTTCCTGGAAAAAACCAACAAGTTGCCGATACCTTAAGCAGAGATCCCTTAAGAGAACACATCGACACAGACTACCTTGAGAAAAACCTAAGGGTGTACTCAGTTATCACCACAACACCCGAAAACGAAAGACGACTACAGACAGAAATTGACCAAGATCCTGACCTCCACAAACTCAAACATTATGCACTAAACGGTTGGCCTACTCATAAGTGCAACCTACCTTCATCTCTCAAAACATATTGGCCTTTAAAAGGAGACATATATCTTCATGCAAACATTCTTTTTTATAAAAACAAAATAATAGTTCCAAAAAACCTTAGGAACGAATTTTTAAAATTGCTGCACAAATTTCATCAAGGAGTGGTCTCCACAAAACTACTCGCTCAAGATTCAGTATACTGGCCAGGCCTCACCGTTGACATCGAAAATATCGTATTAGCTTGCCTAATTTGTCAAAAACATTCGAGATCCAACACCCGAGAACAAAGTCAGCCGAATAGAAAACCACCGCCAAGCGATCGATTAGAAGAGCAGCCATCGACCAGTGACTGTCAACCATCGACCAGTGACTGTCAACCATCGACCAGCAACTATCGACCCTCGACCAGCGACTGTCAACCATCGACCATCAGCGACTATCGACCCTCGACCGGTAACTGCCAATCATTGACCAGACATCAATTAGAAGAAGACCACCTATTAGACTTGACTTGTAATTTGTAATTATTGTAAGTGTTGACTTGTGCAATGTAATTAGTTTGCATGTTTTGTTTTGTTTCAATTTTAAAAGGTAGGGCATGTCATATATGATCGGACTACGCATGCCCGATGTCAACGAGCGGTACGATGGCAGTACGTACTTGACGATTAATGAATAAAGAGCTATCGTAACCAACGTCCACGGATTACTATTTATTATTAACGCCTCTACCCTCGGCTAACATAACGCAACCGAAATACATTACACTACCTATTCAAACCACCGCGACCACCAATTTAAAAGCCCCACGCCACGGTGGCGGGTAGTGGTCCACTCCCGCTGAAAGGCGCGACTTCGACTACATACTCATTGTGAACTGAAGACATCTGACCTGTTGGTTGGTGACTTGCATGCGGCGCGTAAGCCTCAAACAAAATATAGAGCGTGTTTCCGAGTGGCGCTGCTTATTAAGTTCGAATCGAAATTTAATTCCACCGAATGGTGGTGCCGCTGTAGCTACTTGCATCTCTTTGCAACAGGCGGATTATTCCGTCCATTAGTTTGAATCTCATATAATTCGGCATATCTTCTTGTGACTATAAAACTGTAAAATGTGAAAATAAGAAGTAAATATGAAACTTATCTACATAAATAGATTTTCATAACAGAAAAACAGTAATTTTGATTTAGTCGCATCCCGCCTGGCAGCTTCAAACCATTTTCTTTTCTTTTCCCAGTCACTGGAAACTGTTAAGAATATTTTTTTGGGAGTAGGTAGTAACGCTGGGGCTTTTGTCCGTGCACGGTCATTAAAAGCACTAACGACGGTATATGATCGCATCGTTAGTGCTTCGTTAGTGCCTCTTAGTGCTTCATAACTTGCATCAGCACGACCGGCCTTTTCCGAGAAATCGACCCCTCTCCTTGTGTAGTGCTGACTTTCTACCCTCGTTGAAAGCACTAACGACCGAGCAAGTACTAATCGTTAGTGCTTCGTTAGTGCCTCTTAGTGCTTCATAACTTGCATCAGCACGACCGGTCGTTTTCGAGAAATCGACCACCCCCCCTTGTGTAGTGCTAACTTCCTACCCTCGTTGAAAGCACTATAACGACCAATCCAGTGCTAATCGTTAGTGTTTCGTTAGTCCCTCTTAGTACTTTATAATATAACTTGCACCAACACGACCGGCCCCTTCATCACAGCCACGACCTCCCCACCACAAAAAATACTGGGAGTGGTGTCCATACTACCACATCTGAATGTGAACTTCACTATAGATTTTAGGGAAAAAGTGGTAAAGAAAAAGTTTAGGTACTCACTTCACTGATAATTTTTGTGTGCCATATTTGTTACGATTGATTATCGCGCGAAGCTCAGCATACCTAGATCTTTTCGTTAGCCGGCAAATATTTTGGTCAAAAATTGTAAAAATCGTTGTTTTATTATTGGTTTCGTTGGAGAATTATCAAAATGTATTACAATAATTAAGTTCATACATTTTTAGCCACCATCGCCCATGTATGTTTGACCATAAGATGTCAAAATTAGTAGTCTACTCATTCATTACACTAATACAGGGTTGGCATGAATGAATTATACCTACACTAAGTTCCTACAATGGAATTATTTGTGTATAAAAGTTTTCGTAAAAAATGCGGGGAGGGGTACAAACTACCTATCGTAAAGGAATATTTAAAAAAGTCATCTTATTTAGCACACAGCTTGTCCTTTAATTTTCTTAACGGTCTTCTGCGCCCCTGTTAACATCTAAGATACTAAAATTCTGTATCTTTTTCGTAAAACTATTTGCTGTAAGGTACACCACAATCCGCGATTGAGGAGCACATTAGATTTTCGTACATCTTTAACTGTTTCTAATGCGGACTTTATTTTTAGGAGGAATATTCGAAGGTACAAACGAAAATGAGGAAATTGCATTCAGAGTTGCAATTGATATTGTCAACAAACATCGGCAATTACCGTACGCACTGGTACCTGTCATAGGAAGAATAGAAGCAGACGAAGTCGTCGATGCAAAACATGGATTCACACTCGACATGACTTGGGATAGACCATTTACTGCCCTAGAAATTGGATGCTCCATTTTAAGCAAAGGCGTAGTCGGACTTTTTAATTCCCTTTCAGAAGACAATTCAAATACCATACAGTCTTTATGCGATGATAAAGAAATTCCGGTGATACAAACTATTTTTGATACTGAACACGAAAGGGATTGTTGTTCCATCAACTTATTCCCGCACGCGCCAGTCTTAGCTCGAGCATTTGCCGATGTTGTAAAAAAGTGGAATTGGGATAGTTTCACAATAATATACGAGAACCAGGCTAGCTTGGCCAAAGTGACCGAAATGCTAAAAATTTATAACACAACCGGACACACTGTTGTTTTGAGGCAACTTTACACCAGTGGCAATGGCGACTACAGGTAAGTGATCTAATAACATCACCTGTTATCTTACAAGCAATAGTTTGTTAGGAAGGCACTAAAGGATATTTGGAAATCTGGTCAAAAAAACATTGTTCTGGATTGCTCCACGGAAAATTTGAATGAAGTCCTCAAGCAAGCCCAACAAGTTGGATTAATGGCAAATGATTACAACTACATAATCATTAATCTCGACATGCACACTATAGACCTGGGCCCTTATCAGTATGGCGGAACTAACATAACGGGAGTAAGTCTTTAGCCGAGCAACTTTTTCTTTCAGTAGATACCTAACATGTTGTTTCAGCTTAGGTTAATCGATCCTTTAAATACGTTTGTAATTGAAGTGGCCGAAGCTATTTTGCACAAGCGCAATGAAATGAATTTACCAGTGGACTCATTTGATCCGTTCGTAAACGCTTGGCAGTTGCAGGTGAAAACTGCTTTATTAGTCGACGCTGTTATGTTGTTTTCCCAAGCACTTGACAATATTGGTCATTTCACCGCAATGCCATTGTATTGTAATACAACAGATAATTGGATTCACGGAGAGACGGCTTTCAACTATATGAAAACGGTAAGGCTATCTGGTAATATCACACAAGAGTTTATTACAACAAGCAAATTTTAATAACGATACAATTAAATGAAAAATTTCAAGCAACATTAGCATTAAGATGCGAGCGATTTCCGGGATAGGACTGTGTCAATTTTGAACGAAAAGTCAACGTTTTGTCCACTCATTTCCACTCCCACACTAATTTTTCTCAAAACTACGTCCATTGAACCCGGCTCTGTTCTACCAATCATGTCATTCCTTTCAACCAATCAAATCCCTAGAAACTAATTTTACATACAGGGTGATTCCTATAGTACCTGCCACCGTTTGGGAGCGTATAGGGGGTGCCTAGAGGAAGTCTTTTCATATAGGACACTTGGGGTCGGAAATCCAAAATAAGGGCGCCAGAACCAAATTTATCTTCTGGAATTTCACGCCTGTATGTAGGCAACCCAACCGACCGACGTTTAGCGCGGAGCGATGCAGAGCGAGTTAGCGCGAGGAAGCGACATGGGAGGGAAGGAGGGAAAACGACAGTCAAAAGCAATAACGTTTACAAGTGTTCAACGCGGCCACCGTTGTTCTCAATGCACTTCCTACATCTAGCCAACCACTCCCCTCGAACTCGCGTGAAGACTCCTATGTCCTGGCGAACAGCCTCTCCGACCATGACGACGCGCGCAATTAAGTCCTCTTCGGATTCGACGGGAGTCTCGTAGACGTGCGCTTCCATCACACCCCACAAGTAAAAATCTAATGGGGTGACGTCGGGCGAGCGGGCAGGCCACTCCACCGCACCTCCACGGCCGATCCATCTGTCCGGATAGGTTTGGTCCAAGTGTTCCCTCACCTGCCGCCCGTAGTGAGCAGGGCACCCATCGTGTTGGAACCAGTGGTCCCAGTACAAGTTAACTGGAACATCCATTAAAAGTTCTGGTAGCACCTCGCGCAGGAAAATCAGGTAATTATGGGCATTTAGACGCGGAGGGAGGATGTAAGGCCCCAGTAGGTTGTCCCCCAGGATGCCAGCCCAAACGTTTAAAGAAAACTTGTCCTGGTATCCTCGCGTAAACGTTTCATGAGGATTGTGCTCCGGCCAGTAGTGGCTGTTACGAGGATTGAAGGTCCCCTCTCTTGAGAATCCTTTCTCGTCAGTAACTAGCACGCTCCTCAGAAAGTTCGGATTAGCTTCTTCCTCCTGGACGACTAAGTTGCAGAATTCCAGCCTCCTTTCATGGTCACCCGGCCGTAACTCTTGCACTTTCTTAAACTTATAGGGTGTAAGTTGTTGTTGTTGGCGATGTTCCACACTGTGTGTTGACTACAACCCACCTGATCTGCTACAAGTCGAGTGCTAGTACGCGGGTTTGCCTCGAAACTTTCCAACACATCCTCCTCTAAGGCATTTACCAACGGGCGATCGCGATCACGGGCGCTAGTGGGCTGCGAAATAGGAGGAGGTCGGTGTAAACAAACAAACTTTTCGAACTGGGTGCTTAAATGACCCAAGTATCGATGTGCATCACGAATCTGTGTGTAAAGTTAAGCCTCCGTCAGCTTACCTGCAATTGCCCTGTCTCGCACAGTCGGAAGTGAACTTCTTGAAAGACCTGTCTGCAGGGTAACTGACGGTTTGGATACCGCTCAGCGTACGCTCGTCGTGCAGCTCGTGCGTTACCATTTGCCAATCCGTACATGACGTGCATGTCCGCGTATTCCGTGTTAGTAAAACGTGCCATAGTGTTTATTCACTTGATACGCGTCGTTGCAGACGGGATTTCGTGGGTTTAAACAAAATTCTGATCAAGTGTCAGCCACACATCGTCGCCTGAGATCGCTCCGTGTGCACCGCCGGCCGGTTGGGTTGCCTACCTACAGGCGCGAAATTCCAGAAGGTAAATTTGGCTCTGGCACCCTTATTTTTGATTTCCGACCCCAAGTGTCCTATATCAAAATACTCCCCTACGCACCACCTACACGCTCCCAAACGGTGGCAGGTACTATAGGAATCACCCTGTATATAAATCAAGTCTGCGTTGACTTTGGCAGATCTCAAGCTGCGCACTACCTTATTTCTCAATAATTTCGCTTATCCTGTCGCCACCAAACTTTCATACGCAAATAACTCCACAGAGCTGTGTACAGGAACTATTCTTCCAAGAATTTCAATCACAAAATTTTGAAAAAACTATTTATTTATTTATTAAATTTAGCGTGTACTGCAACAAAATGCTTTACCTAACGACGTCATTTTCTTAAATACTCAGGCAAGAAGTGTTGGACTTGAAATGGGGGCAAAAACCACCACATGTTACATTGATTGCCGTGAAGCGGTACGTTCTGAACGACCTACAGAGGGAACGTAATAGTATATTTCATTAGGAGTCCGGAAAGCAGGCTTTTTCCGTGCGCGCGTGGCAAATTCCCGTGTGAGGCGTAGCCGAACACGGGAAGCCATGCAAGCACGGAAAAAGCATTTCTGGACGTGTAATGAACGATATTTTTTATTATACTTCTTTTTAATCGATAACATAAAAAACAACAAACTCGCTAACATTTTTATTTTGTGACAGTTATAGAATATGCGTTTTCATGGTTACTCTCAAATCATTGCAAAGGCGATTTGTTTAATTAGTTTAGTTCAGATAAGGTTGACGAAACGTCAAAAAATGTCACAAATTCTCAAAGAAGTTTATCTAAATATTCAAACATCTACGAACTAAAACGCAAAATACTTACATATGAAACATTACAACTCATATAGATTTTCTGAAAATTACTTTACTTCCCTGTAAATTTGTATTTCAAAGCAATATTTTGGGTATTTATATTCAGCGCACGGAAAGAATCAAAGGAAAGGAAAAGTTTTTCCGTGCGCTAGCCTGGAAAAGGCCAGATACCATTATTTCTAATACAGGTGTAAATAAGCTGATTTCAATGAAGTATAATAAAAAATTCATAACTCCTATCGCATAAAAAATTCAATCGTCTATCTAGTTAAACATAGGGAAATTTCCACATATACCGCTTCATAACGAACGTAAACAAAAATATGTTTGGAAATAAAGGGCGGTAACAATGAGTGGGTACGTCGTGCAGAAACATTTAAGCAAATTTTAATGTGGGGCAAATTGCAGGTTATCTGAATGCGAATAGACGAATTACTGTAAATTAAGGTACGAGAAAAAAACTTTTTATCAGCCTGATTCGTAGTAAGGTCGTTTAGTTACGAGTGATAAAATTTATGCGAAGCAACATTTTCAAATCGGAGAACCGCTTTCAAATTCAAGATTAAATAAACTGATATTAAACTCATTGTGATAAACAAGACATTTTTTTCGAATCGCTAACAGTAACGGCTGGTTAAAAGCAAGTTCTTCAAGGTTCGGTGACGTGATTCGATATCGATAAATAAATAACAATTATATACAACGGTATAGGGCCTGAAATTTAAAGGAAATTAATCGGTGCATTTACCTGCAATAAAACCTACTTAATAAAATGGGCAAAATTAATATCAACACAGCGGAGCATTGGCTTATTATTTCGGTGCATAACTTCACGTTATTACCATCTTCGGGATCGGTTTGCTTGGATTCGCGATTCGTACGCACATTTCTTCCGCCAAACTTTGCATTCATCAAGAAGATACCGTTTCCAGAGTGGTCAAAAAGTCAACTGTACCATCGAAGAGATTTGTTTGTAGCAACATTGTCCAAGAAGACATGATATCATTTTTTTTATTTTTTAGTTGTTAAATAATTTGGTACTGTTAGTGTTTGTTTACAATGAACGTATACGTAAAAATTTCATAAACCGTAACTCGTACATATTCGCATCGTTTCCGTAAATTTACTTCGCTATTTACAATAAACCAAAGATCATACTACATGTTTGTATGTAGTTTGTAGTTCGACCGTACGTCACTTTGAAACATTTTCAACTTTTGCGACTATGCGCAAGACTTGTGCGTGTTTACAATGAACGTATACTATACGTAAGAAATACATAAAACGTAAAAATTTCGCAAAGTTGAACTGTATAGAAACATACGAAGGTGTTTACAATGAATGTAATTTTTACGTACGTATACGTAAGCGATATGTAAAGCTGAATTTATAGTTCCGTACCCGCAACACCGTACCGTAACGTTTGGAATTAAACCCTGCTTGTTGCGCGTGAACATTTATAATTCGCGTTAACGTTGCGTTAGAACGGTTACGGTACGTAGGAAATGCCCAAATCTTATTTCTTACGGTCAATCGTGCTAACGCGCTTGTCTTCGGTAGTACTCGGATAATTCAAACAGTTGAGTTTATTCTGACGTTCGTTTCGTTTATTTACAATAATTATTGACACTTTGTTGGTTATTATTATTTTGAAATGCACGTTACTCTTACTGACAGATGACATACAGATAGAATTCGTTTCGCACTAATGCGCATGCTCATCTCTTACCACTACGGTAACTATAAATCGTATAATTTTCGTTAACGTAAGATTTTACGGTTCCGTTCTTACGTTCTTACGGATACGGAACTATAAATCCGGCTTAAAGCTGAATTTATAGTTCCGTACCCGCAACGCCGTACCGTAACGTTTGGAATTAGACCCTACTTGTTGCGCGTGAACATTTATAGTTCGCGTTAACGTTGCGTTAGAACGGTTACGGTACGTAGGAAATGCCCAAATCTTATTTCTTACGGTAAATCGTGCTAACGCGTTTGTCTTCGGTAGTACTCGGATAATTCAAACAGTTGAGTTTATCCTGACGTTCGTTTCGTTTATTTACAATAATTATTGACACTTTGTTGGTTATTATTATTTTGAAATGCACGTAACTCTTACTGACAGATGACATACAATGACAGAGCGCTAACGCGCAAGCTGGCACTTGCCACTACGGAACTATAAATCGTATTATTTTCGTTAACGTAAGATTTTACGGTTCCGTTCTTACGTTAATACGGCTACGGAACTATAAATCCGGCTTTAGTCTTGCGCATAGTCGTAAAAGTTGAAAATGTTTCAAAGTTACGTACGGTCAAAGATCATACCTACTACTTGTGGTTTATTGTAAACAGCGAAGTAAATTTACGGAAATGATACGGATATGTACGAGTTGCGGTTTATGAAACATTTACGTATACGTTCATTGTAAACAAACACCATATCGCTTACGTAGGTATACGTACGTAACAATTACGTTTATTGTAAATATTTGCGAAATTTTTAAGTTTTATGTATTACTTACGTATACGCTCATTGTAAACAAGCACTTAAAGTACAGTTGCGTTTTTCAGGAAACCAAATCCGGTTTAACTGGACCTATACAGTTTGATAATGTAGGTGTAAGAAGTGAATTTGACTTGGAATTGATTGAACTGAAAGAAGGCGGAATAACGACGATAGGTACATGGAATTCCAGGGATGGGTTAAATATTTCTAGGATTATTCCTGAAGTTGATGATACGGATAGAGATAATTTAAGAAATAGGTCATTTATAGTAATAATTGCGTTGGTAAGTTATGTAAACTACTCTATTTGACTAATTACTCATATACAAGGTGTTTTAGATGAATATCAGGGTTTTAGGTTTTAGGAATACTTTTATTCTTTTACTAAAAGTTACAAAATCAAACGAAAGAACAACTCGAACCGTTGAAATGGTTGTGTATGTGATTTGTACCACTGGGGGTTGGTAAAGGATCATTTAAACACACGCTAGGTTTCAGAAAGTTAATTAAACAGTTACTTCATATACTCGTGACGGGATGAGATAAAATCGCCTGTCGGCTTGGTGCGAAGAATGGAGGTATTCATACTGAATTCTTGTAGGTATAAGCGAAAATGATTTGAGTTGTTCTTTCATTTGATGCAGAATTCCACCCCCACATTCATTTAGAAACACCCGTACACCCATACTTCATATACCTACAACACTCTAACAATTTACAGACACCGCCCTACGCAATGCTAAAAGAGAGCAAAGTTAAATTAGATGGTAACGATAGGTTTGAAGGGTTTGGCATTGACTTAATAGCAGAACTGGCCAACTTGGAGGGCTTCAATTTTACTTTCATTGTAAGAGTGGACAAACAAAATGGGGACATAAATAACGCAACAGGAAGATGGACCGGATTGATAGGAGATGTTATTGACGGGGTAAAAATCGGATAAGGTACCTACTTCATCTCCTTAATCTCTCATTACAGGTTGCAGATTTGGCTATTACCGATCTAACAGTTAACAGAAAACGGCAATCAGCAGTAGATTTTACAAGTCCATTTATGGATCTAGGTTTGAAAAACATCAAATATCCACGACAATTGTAGGTACCCTTACATTTTAGGAATACAAATTTTGTATGCACAACCTACATCCGCACCTCCAAGTTTTTTCACCTTCGCCTCGCCGTTTGCCGTAGAAGTATGGCTTCTTTTAGGTGGAGCGTATTTTGGAGTTTCTCTCGCGTTATTCATAATGGCACGGCTCTGTCAGTCCGAATGGAGTAATCCTTACCCCTGCATTGAGGAGCCGGAATACCTGATAAATCAATTTAGTTTGAGAAATTCATTATGGTTCACGCTTGGGGGTCTTATGCAGCAAGGAGCTGATATAGCACCAACGTAACTATATCTTTAATCACGTGACACAATCGGAAAAATTTGAGTTTTAGAGGTTTATCAACTAGACTGTTAACGGGGTTTTGGTGGTTCTTTACTTTAATTATGGTATCATCCTACACTGCAAACCTTGCCGCTTTTCTTACAAATGAAGTTAAAGAATTGCCTTTTTCTAACGTGGAAGAGCTAGTCAAGCGAGCTGAAAAATTGGGCATTCAGTACGGTGCGAAAAAAGGTGGTGCAACATATGCATTTTTCAAGGTATTAGATCTTCAAAATTCGCATGTGAAATCAGCACGTTTTTTAGGGTTCTGATAACGATTTGTATAAAGAAATTGGTAGTTATATGGAAAGTCATCCTGATGTGTTGGTAAAAGAGAATGAGGACGGGGAAGCTAGAGTAGAAAAGGGTAATTACGCATTTTTTATGGAATCCACTTCGATCAGTTACGCTATATCCGGCAGTTGCAATTTGGCTTCTGTCGGAAGTAAGCTCGATGAAAAGAATTACGCTATTGCTATGCGTCAAGGTTGTATAAGTGCTCTCATCTTTAAAACAATATTACAAACGTTGTTCTTATCAGATTCGACCTACAGAGGCCGACTAAGTGCTGCGGTTTTGAAGCTGAAAGAATCAGGGAAAATTGATGAATTGCAGAGAAAGTGGTGGCTCGAAAAAAGGAAGAAGCCGGAATGCGAGGTAAGGAAAAGTAAGAAATGTATCAATTTAAAAGAATCGTAATAGGAAGCGGACGAAATACCCGGTGCTCCTCCTTTGAATTTGAAACACGTCGGTGGTATTTTTTGGGTATCGACAGGTGGAACGATTCTGTCATTTTTCTTGGTCTTCACGGAACTTGTATTACATACTCTTAAAAAGTACGGGCGAGATCGACATTCTTGTACAGAAGAATTGAAAGATGAAGTTCGATTCTACTTTTCCTTCAAAGGAATGGTTAAGCCAATAAAGAATAGAAAATCAGATTCTCAATCCACAGACAGTAAAGAGAAGCTTGAAGTTAATGAGCCGATCACATACGATTACACACCTGATGTATTTACAACCAGCAATTAGTTAGATGGTTTATTATGTTGATTGACCTCTTAACACTTTATTATTATCATCACATATTGTAGATAAGTAATAAATTCTGTTTAATGCAGCGTGTCGATTTCTTTAAGTGCATACAAATTTTATTATAGGTACCTATTGTGTTGCGAAAATTCGATAAGTATCGGATACCTTCCTATTTGCGTGTAACAGATACGATCTGAATTTGAACGAATAGATGCCTTAGATATTGCAACATCTCAATTATAAATTTTACTCACAATCGGTTAGTACAAGGACTGTTCCATAAGAAAGTTTTTAAATCCGTGTGGAAGGCGGGAAAACTTTGGTAGTCGCGGGGAATTTGCATCTGGGTGTAGTGGTAGGACTGTAAAATTCCTATACGTGTGCGTCGATCGTGTTAGCTGAGACTACACTTGCTCCCCCTGCGAGTCCCTAGGAAACGCGGAATTGTAAAATTCAACTGTTGCGAAATAATAACATAAGTTGGATTTATGACCTTAGCGCTCGCATAATCAGTGAGAATACTTTCACTACACGGAAATGCGTTACTTCCAATATTGAACTGTTTTTCCTTAGCTCATAAATGTATGCCTACCCTCCTCAAGTTGAAAAACGCACGCGTCGCAGTTCCCCTCTCCGTTTCCATATAAGGTCAATGCAATACGGCGAAAAAAAATGCAAAACCTTATTCCATGTAATTTCCTTGTAACGTTTGAGCCTAACTTGAAAATACTCCAACACGAAAAATGGGAAAAATCTCCTAAACCGGTTCCCGTTACAGTACCCCTTTAGAAGTTTAAAATTTATGGAATTAAAATTTTTAAAATACCAACAAAAACTTAAAAATAAATTAAAAATTCTATAATAAACTGACTTGAAGCTGGCATCTTTTCACCTAACGGCTGGAATTTAATATCTCTTCCTGAAGAATGAAGTGGATTTTTAATTTTCTTTCGGGTTATTCATTTGAGGCAACCTGCAAAATAGTGGGGTAGCCGCTTCAGTTTTTCATAAAACTATGCCGTCGACCAGCTCCATAAAACGAAAAATGTATTGACAAATTTTCTAGGAGATTGGACCACTTGATTGCAAATGACAATAAAAGTCTAAATTTCGACATTTTTAATTATATTTAAAATAATCAGTGTCTGACTTCAACTACAATCTTTCATAATAGTTTCAGAGAAATTTTGCAGTACCTATACAGGGTTACCCGACATTCGTCGCAGCATACGAAAACGCCGTTAGCTGCGTGCAAATATGAATTACAATACGGCGTACACTTATATAATAATGCAGGTTTCGACGCAGCATTGGTCAACGAGTTGGCGGTGGTACTAGGATTCGTCACTACTTGTCATTACTCATCGGATAATTTCTGTCACAATTTTGACGCTCCCCATATGTATGAACCCTCTCGATTTCTTCTACTGGGGTCACCTGGATTCCATTTATGAACTTGGACCGTTTCCGAACACTGCTGCTTTGGAAGATGCCATCCGTGAATGTTCTGCGGGTATCACTCATACCCAACTCATGTCTGTGGCTGCAGAATTTGAAAACCGATTGCATTACACGATTGCTACTGGCGGGGACTTATTTGAACACTTACTATAACCGCAGGCTGTTTCTTTTTTAATGTAACCAAAGGCTGTATTTTTTTCTTTCGAATAAAGTACAATTTTCTTTCGTTATGTTTCCTTGTGCTCATCCTGCATGATCACTTTCCTTTTCCATGGAATTTCTAACGTGTCGGCCGATGCTGCGTCGAAACCTGCATTACTATATAAGTGTACGCCGCATTGTAATTCATATTTGCACGCAGCTAACGGCATTTTCGTATGCTGCGGCGAATGTCGGGTAACCCTGTATAGCTGATTCATTAGCAAAAAACGCAATAACATTTTACCATATTCTCGTTGTATTAACTACCGACTTATGTCCTCCGAAACTCATATTGGTGATTATAGTAGGGGAGCTAGCACGAAATCCACTGAACGAGAATGATCAAAATTTTAACAGATGGAGTTCCATTTTGCCCTATCAGAGTATGCTAAAATCGATCGTCTGCCGCCTCAGGTCATATGACTTAAGGCGCTGCGGGTACTTCTTGCGGCAGCAATTCTGAAAGGTTGTTTTTCGAGAAAATAAGTTATGCACCAAATGAAAACGTTGACAATAGCTCTTAAAAAAATATTTAAAAAAATCGCGCACATTTGATAACTCGGTAAAAAAACAATTCTAAGTCGGTTTTTCACGAACTTTCTACGGATATAACTAGGTTACGGTTAGACGAATGAAGCTGATTTTTTCTATAGACTGATGATAGGTACTACTACTAATGACAGTGTTTCGTTTTTAAATTTTTCATCTAATTATAAGATTATCTTATTATCTTAACAGTATAAGATATCTTATAATTAGAGAAAAAATTTAAAAAAGAAACACTCTCATAGTTATTGGCTGTGCCTATCATTAGTCTGTAAAAAAAATCAGCTTCATTCGTCCAACCGTAACCTAGTTATATCCGTGGAAAGTTCGTGAAAAACCGACTAAGAATTGGTTTTTTACGGAGTTATCAAATGTGCGCGATTTTTTAAAATATTTTTTTAAGAGCTATTGTCAACGTTTTCATTTGATGTATAACTTATTTTCTCGAAAAACAACCTTTCAGAATTGCTACCGCAAGAAGTACCCGCAGCGCCTTGTCATATGACCTGAGGCGGCAGACGATCGATTTTAGCATACTCTGATAGGGCAAAATGGAACTCCATCGGTTAAAATTTTGATCATTCTCGTTCAGTGGATTTCGTGCTAGCTCCCCTACTATTATTAGCCACAGATTGTCTCCTGGACTACGTAATTCTTATTAAATCGATACTTAGCAACCCACATACATGTTTACATTTTTTTTTGACAACTGCAATTATGTTTGAAGTTAGTTTATCAAGAAGCAAAACAGAGTAAATAACTGGATATTTTTGTACGAACTCATACAGTGCAAGTTTTTTTAGATGGGTGAAGTTTGGAAAAATAAAGAAAATCTGTTTCGTCGGAAAAGATTACATATGTATTGGAAGCGGGTGTTACATGGAGTTTCTAAATGTTTTAACGGGGGAGAAATTTTTTTATCATGCATCCGAGAAGGAAGTAGGTGAAGGGATATCCGTATTTACCGGCCACAGAACCTTGCCAATTTTTGCTTTCGCTGAAAAATGTCGAAATCCCATCTTGCGTGTACAGAAGTGTTCTGAATTCATCGAAATCTGTCAATTGGGTTAGTTAATAAGACTTACAATGAATGAAATTTATATATTATATTACCTACCTAGATAAACAGTCCAGTGAGGATTATCTCCAGTTGTCATTTACGGAAGGTGATTTTTTGGTGAGTTTGAATGGTGATCCGGCGTTTAGTGTAATTGTTTGGAATTGGAGAATGGGTACAAAAGTAATATCGGTAGCAACAGATATATTTGGAAGGTTTCAATTGCTTAGGTATGTAAATTTTCTGAAAGGAACAGTGTAAGGTAAGTGTTCCCCATTTCTAAAATCAACTCCACCAACACCTCGCGAACACCATCGTCTCTTCTTCCTTCAAGCACCTATCTTCAAATTGGGGGGCTAAATTAACGTACTGAAGTTTCGATTATCTAAGGCTATAATTTGTTTAGGCGGGTGCCATTTAAAATTTTCAAAAAAATATGACATTTGGCGGTCAATCACAAATGTTCCTTTTTGGATAAAGTGCCTAAAAATGATGTAAAAGTGAAAATAAAGAACTTAGCCTGTGCTTTAATTCCAAACATATAGGTTTACAATGTCCCTTCAAAGAAAACGAGATTTTCCATGCAATCGCATCCGACATATGCAGAAATAACGATTTGGCTCTTTCGTACAATATAAAAACTGGGACCTAAAAGGTTATAACGAGTAGGAAGTGTTGGCGCTGCGTGTCCCATAAACTAGCTCAGGGTTAAACACAAAGAATATTCCACAGCGGTAGTTCATTTTGAGTAAAATGACCTTCGTAACTTCAGTTCACCTACCAATGGTTGAGGGCCACTCAATTTCTAACTTAACTCTGCCCGTATGTAATTGAGGAGATACGAGGTAGTAATAACAGTAAAAATCAGTTTAGGTACGAAAAGAAATACTGGATTATTTACACCAAATATCAAATGAAGGATAAACTCCACAATAGGATAGTATAACATAACACACAAAATTCAAAATTATAAGTTACGTTTCACAAAAATCTTACTAACTTGAGTGTGCAATTTACAGTATAGTTGAATTCCGTAGTTCTATCTTAATAAGCGTGTACCTGAAACCATAAAACATTTTTTTGGACAGTAAAAGTTTATTTAAAAATAGAGGCTGATTAGCAAACAAATAATGAACATGTGCGGTTTTGAGGGTTTATTCAAAACGATATGATTGTGGCGGGCTCTGTGACGTAATAAGCCCGACCAATCAGCTCCTAGAACCATTCAGATGACATAACGAATTGGCAATATTGCAGGAGAATGTCATTTGTAACTTGCGTCACCTGTCACAGGCACTTGTCAGTTGTCACTTGTCGTTCACTTTCGCGCACAGCCGTCTATAATTACAAGCCGTGCTGAGAATTATGGCAACACTGCATGGTAGGTCGATTTCCTAATTCAACTTGGCAGATTTGAAGTATATTTTATATGTGTTTTGGGTGTAATATTCCTATTTGCCTGTTTTAACAGGGTGAGATTGCCACAATTTGTGTTACTCCATACGGAATGAACAGAAATTATTATTCAGGTAAGTTGCTAAACGAAATATATCGATTTGTTGTCATAACCTCTAAAGCAGGCTACTCCTTACTGGACCCTTTACAAGAGCTTGTATTTGTTCAAAGTATCTCTATCTGTATAAGCTCAAATATGACCTACACACTACGTGGTACGTAAGTACGGTAAGTGTTTATCGTGAAAGAATACAATTATTATTTTATTAGATGGAATTTCAGATATTCTAGCACGGAAATGTCAAGTCGATTTTCTGAGAACCTTCCGACATTCCCAGGAGTTCACGGTATGGGAATTTGAAGTCTACGGGGCTCCCCTCTTTAAAATCTTCGTATCTAGACCCACTGGAGTAGCGACTGGCTTAAAGTCTGCCATTCCGAATCACACCTGGTCGTTGACAAAACCTCGCTGATGCAGAGCGATTTACTGTCCTTTTGTCGAAATTAAGTGCTCAAGCGTGTGCTTCACCTCGACCTTTTTTGACAGAAGTTCACCAATTTCTGAGATCTCGATGGAAAACGCATTATGATGCAGTTACCAATTTACAGCGTTCCGAATTTTAAAGTCAAATAAAAATGTTATTATCCATGTTTGTAAATAAATAAAATATATGTACAATTGTAAGCTGTCTAAGTATCTTTCTTCTGTATTAAAACCACCAAGGCGAAACAGAGGAGTTTTTCAGGAGCAACAAGACGCCATTAAAACTTACATCGGCCCACCGATTGACTTTCTGACAACGTTGCCAAACTTCTCAGCATGGCTTGTAATTATAGACGGCTGTGCTTTCGCGTTAGATGCAGTTAAACATGTCTCTTAAAACGTCAAATCCGACAAACGTCAGACCCTCGCACAAGGTTGCCGGCTCACTTCTACGTGATTGGTTGTAGGTTTGTGACGTATTTAGACTGAAGCGTTTCAAATTTGGACAAAAAACACAGCTTTTCAATAATTTATTTTGGGTTTATTTTACTGGCAAATAAAAATTGGGAACACACGGGTCTTTTTATTTTTAATGTACTTTGTAGATCAGAAATAAAAAATGAAGCCGGGATGCCCCTATTTAACAAAATCCTTAATCAAGAATAATCGATTAAATTGATTACTGAATCTTTCCACAAATAAATTGAAAATTCGACCAAAAATTCGCACGTATATGGCCAAGTACAGTAAAACATATAAGGCACCTTGCATAAAATTAAACGTTGACTCTAAGAAGTGAGCTCAGTTCTCGCATCGAAAAACCTGCAAACAAAAAACCTCCCACTCCGCAGAGCCCGGTACACAATTAATTGACCAATGGCTGAAGAGCCTCGCTTTACTCATAGGAGGCTTCTATCACAGGTACGGTACTTAATCGACCAAACCCTTCAGAGGGACTCCAATAGCATTCCCGTGACTAACACGATCATAAATTGATAATTTAACTGAGATCGCAAAGATAATAAATGGTACCTACTGAAGTTAACAAATTACTTGAATGTGATAGCATATAAACCAGAAGGGGCAAAAATAGTTCATATAAATACCCTGAACGTTACGAAAGTTCTCTTTGTTGTGGATTGATTCTCGCTATCATATCTTGTTCATGACCACCCAATTCCAGAAAATGTTCGCTAGTTCGCTAGATCCTTAAACTGGTAACATAAATTAAAACTAGAATTAAAAACCTTAAAAGAAATCAAAAGTCATCCGTCTCTTTGATAACTTCTTAAATAAGAGGGCTAATTATAGATGAATACAACAATCGTCGCCAAACCTAAAGAATTCAATTCAAATGGAAAATTTCGCTTTAACTACTTACGTATTAAAAACTACAATATGGCCTAACTTCCTAACTTGTATTAACACCCTGCACCAATCCTCAACATTCCCCTAATAAATGATAAAATTAAACGTCAAAACAAAATAAAAATTATACTAAAAGAATTTTTTTAACTCGCAATATTCCTGTAAACGTAATTGAAGCGACATTTGCAATGAAACTTAGACGTACATGAGAAAGCATTACGTAAGTGAAATCTCTAACAAATAAACAAAGGTACCTACACCTAAATACGGCCCTTACCTCAACTGTTAACTTATCGTTTTAAACCATGCGCATTTTTTATAAGGCCTTGCAAATTCAAATTTATAAAGCAAACACCCTACCAAATCGACAAGCTAGTAATACAAACATCCTATACTAATTACAGTAATTAAGGCGAGGCTTTACCATTCAAATTGTTGGGAATGCGATTCCGCGCGCCAGAAGAAATAAGTTGTGTGAATTAGTGGGAGAAATCGCGAGTTCATCTGATGCAGTAGTCCCGCCTCGATTCACGACGGGATCGCAGCCGCCCGATTACGAATCGGTTGGATGCTAGTTTCCTTGAAACATTGACAATTGTTTTGGAAGTTTACACAATTAGCACGAACCGTCTGCTTTACGATAACCTACTATCTAATTCGCGTTGTTTGAGTTTTGCGATTTGCGTTATCTGGTAATTACCAAATACAGGGTGTTTTTTTGGGAGCTTTAGTTAAAAGTTTCTGGGAAAGTAAAATAGGTAGGTTTTTGAAAATTTGTACTTAGGAGTTACTCTGAAGGCCGAATCGATGTAAAATATTTTCAAAATGGCCGCACTTCCGGAAACACCGGAAGTAGATAGTAACTTCGTTATTTTAAATGGCAACCCCTATTTTTTATTGCATTTTTGGATTCTATGTGAAATTTCAGTTCTTTTGATACCCATATGTCGATATCTGCCATTTATGGTTTTTAAGTTATTTTGACTTTAAGAAAAAAAATGGCGGATGCAGATGGTACCTTGATAATTGATTACTTGAAAACGGTTGTAGTCATGGCAACCTATTTTTATCAGTGAATAGAGAATGAATAGGGCTTTCTTTTAGTGCACTTAAAACAAAGTTAAGTTGCATACAACCGCCCCTATGGAGATCCAAATTTAAGAAACTTCAAAGTCTATAAACTCCGTTTTTTTAAATGGAATGACCATGTTCTTAATAGATGAGATAGAGAATCGAAATTGGCATATTTTGACTATACATGTTCCTATAGCTATCTTTAACAGTTTCTGACTTATTCCCATTTTATTGAATTGACACTATTTTTTTCGGATTTTCTTTTTAGTAGTCGGCCATGATTCTATAACAATTGAATTTTAAACAAATCTAGTGACACTAATCCATCACCCACTGTTATAGGTTAACATAAGTTTTTCAAAAATCGAAAAATGACTCGCAGTGGTTTCACCTATTTTGGAATTTAATTGTTATTTATGGTGAAATGGGCAGAATCGCGGCGCGTGCTTTCCGTACATTCACTCAAAAACTGGAACGAAATTGTATGAATTTTGGAAATTTTGTACCCCTAATGCACTACAAACCGTTGAAGCACAAGTGATACAAAGCTCTACAAGAGAATATTTAAGAAAATGAATTGAATTGCAAATGCAAGATTAACATATTAAATTCAATGCAAAATATAAAAAACTTCGTTGAAACATTTTTGGTATGGAATTGTTGCTAGAACAGATATCACATTACCTCTCTTAATTTCCAGACTTGTTTAAGAAATTCAGTTGAACGACTCTGTTTAGATTTTTCAAAAATTTTCCGTCCTATATCCTTAATAAATGAGTTATTTATTAATGAATTATTTAGACTAGAACTAGAATCAATGGTATTAAAGAATCCATTCCTTGATTTGTTTAAAATTCGATTGTTATAAAATCATGGCCAACTACTAAAAAGAAAATGCGAAAAAAATGGCATCAATTCCGAGATCAATTCAATGAAATGGGAATAAATCAGAAACTGTTAAAGATAGCTATAGGAACATGTAATATCAAAATATGCCAATTTCGATTCTCTATCTCATGCAATATTAAGAACATGGTCATTCCATTTAAAAAAACTGAGTTTATAGACTTTGAAGTTTCTTAAATTTGGATCTCCATAGGTGCGGTTGTACGCAACTTAACTTTGTTTTAAGTGCACTAAAAGAAAGCCCTATTCATTCTCTATGCACTGATAAAAATAGGTTGCCATGACTACAACCGTTTTCAAGTAATCAATTATCAAGGTACCATCTGCATCCGCCATTTTTTTTCTTAAAGTCAAAATAACTTAAAAACCATAAATGGCAGATATCGACATATGGGTATCAAAAGAATGAAATTTCACGTAGAATCCAAAAATGCAATAAAAAATAGGGGTTGCCATTTAAAATAACGAAGTTACTATCTACTTCCGGTGTTTCCGGAAGTGCGGCCATTTTGAAAATATTTTACATCGATTCGGCCTTCAGAGTAACTCCTAAGTACAAATTTTCAAAAACCTACCTATTTTACTTTCCCAGAAACTTTTAACTAAAGCTCCCAAAAAAACACCCTGTATAGTGCACAGAGATAAACAATGCATTTATGCATAAGAATAAACGCTATAATAAACATGGAAAATGACTATATATAATCATATAATATAATCAGCTAATAAAAAAAATCTAAGGGATACTTAGCTTTGAGTAGATGGCGATAAGTAAAAACAAACGTATTCCGTTGACAGCATGAGTCATCTCTAATTTAAATAATAAATAAGTATATATTTTAGGGATGCTAGGGATTGTCAATCTGTAGTCGAATCGGTTGATGATGACAATAATTACGCTAAACCAGATTTGATTCAGTCAATGGCTTTTGAACATAATTTTGATGTAAACTGTAATTCTGTAGCTCAACCTTCGTCTCACAGTCCCGCATCACCACCAATTTGGAATTCAAATCAAGGAAGGTAAAAAGGTATAGTAACACAAGCATGGATTTAACTGTTGATTATTAACGATCCTCAGAGCCTTTATAGTTTTATATTGTCGTCCGTCCGTCCGTGTGCGCTATAACTCTTTTTAAAAATAGCCAGGAATTTGTTGCATTTTTGGCAACCACATGGATTTTGCTCAAAACATATCATAAGTTGTTATTCTTGCACCGAGATCGTTCGCTACATTCTTTTTCTCGCTAAAGCTGAAAAACATGACGCAGATTCACTTCGTCCTCGAGTTCGTTCTTGTGCAATTTGGATTTCTGCATTTCCCGCGAAAATATTTTCAGTGGCGTAGCATGCGTTTCTCTTTTAAAAAAATGTATAAAACGATAAAATTTAAAACTGCCAGGTACCTATGTTACATCACAACCGAAATAACTGTTCATTGAGTTATAGGGCATACTATATTTGTCCTATCTCTACCTTCTTGGTAGATGATTAATGAGGAAGAGACTCTTTTACACAACACGCATCATTTAAAGGCAAAAATGTTCCCCATCTACCAATATAAGGGATTTTCAAAAATTCAACCGGTTTTAAGATGGTAAATTTTACTACCTGGTAACAAAATATTGTTTCCATGATAATTTTACCAACCCGGTTAGTCCTGTTGAATATTCAGAAACGCCTCAAGTAGATTAAATATACTGTTGGATTGCAATTTGAAACACAAACGTTGCAGATGTAATTTGGGCTCCCCAATACTATTCTCGCAACTCCAAACTGGACGTAAAAAAGTCAACCTTTGGGAGATGTACTGCTGTGGCAAAATGTATGCCTTGCAACCGCATAGATTAAACTGTCCTGATGACTGTGGTGTATTTTCCGATTTTTTGTGGACTTATGAAGGAGCATTATTAGTTCTAGATGTCAACGGTCACGTATACAATGTAATATAGTAAGTAACAATGCATGTCTTAATTATGCATGAGTCTCTCACAATAGGCAGAAAACGATTATTCTTTAAAAAGAATAATTGAATGGTCGGACCCCGGAAGCACAGTTACATCATTTGCTTGGTACAAAGCCGGAATAATGATTGCTGGGCCAAACGGAACATTGAAAGTAGGTATACTTGTCTAGTAACGCTTAGGTTTTTTGTAATGTCCTGGTTTTAGCACTTTAAGAAATGCGGATCATGGGAATGTGCTTGCAGTCTTACACCGCCCACGCCATTAAAGAAAATCGTATCCAATTACAAGGATTTACTCGTTGGAATATCGGAAACTGGAGAATTGATGTACTATAATAACTCAGAAGATCGCTTCAAGTTCATTTTACCGTACGAAAGTAGATTCAACGATGTGTGTCTTATTTATCCAAATGGAGATCACATTGTAACCTTACAACACAATCGTGAAATTACCTCGTGGGAAGTGTTGACGGGAGAAATGGTGAATAAACTCCAAGTGGCTAACACACTGATCATTACTTGATGTGTTTTCAGAAAGACATGATGGTTCTTACGCAAAAAGCGTTAGCTATTAAAGAAAATCCAGAGTATCCCTACATTGGAGTAGGTTACTCCAATGGTGTACTAGAATTGTTCTCGCTGTACGATCCAAGCAACATAACATCTATGACTAAATTTAACTTATCCAAAAATCCGCTGAACAGCATCTACTTCACGGAACTGAGCAAGTTGATAGTGGCGGCCGATACAATCTCAGGAGAGTTCTTCATTCTGGAGGTAGGTATATTGTTGATTTTCGTCATTTGCAACTATAGTCAAATGATAGGAAATTCCGGGAACCAAGATGCGTATAATATACACTTTGGAGACAAATCGACAGATATGCGATTATATATTAATTGCATCGAGAACTTGTCTACGATTATTTACTATTTACGTTACGTCTGACTTGTATATTGCCGGAGATAAAATTGCTCGTTATTGCATAATACGAGACAAGCCGGATGTTGATTTAAAGGTATACGACTTGGAATCGAATTCTCAAATGTACTCGAAACTTTATGCAACAAGAAAACCGAATAGAGATCGAGTGTTTTATGCAATACCCATTACTACGAAGAAGATTCACGAAATATCAACAAAACGAGCTGTAAGTATATTAGGTACCTATCCATTGATGAAACCAGTAGGTATGGGCAACCGTCAAAATGTTGCAAGATGTTATTGAGCTGTTTACAATCCGCCGCCACTAGCAACACGTTGCCATATAAACCAACTTTGCTAACCGTCAAGAGTATCCATTCTTATCGCCAACTTCATCGTCACTTGTTCACAAAAGTTCAAGTCAAGACTACCCTTAATTAAAATTAATGTATATTTCTGTCTACCTCTATCACATGGAGAGGGCATGCGCACTCTTTTATCAACATACAATAAAATCTCAAACCCTATCTCGTGATCACGTTTCCAATCTAATTATTTATTTACTTTTTTACTATTTGTAATTAATCCGGCACCTGGTACATTTCCCCATTCAAATAATAAATTTACACGCCTCTGGATGCTCAATGAAATTTTGACCCATACAATAGGGGAATCAATGAACTTGAATTTCCACTTTACCATTAATGAGGACAAAAATCACCAAAATCTTTGGTTCGGGTTCGCTTATCATTTAGAAAAAATATACAAATCTGCTCAAGGAATAAGCTCCCGTAGGTCGACTTCTTTAGGAATGTTAAATTGACTTTGAGCACAAACATTTTTTAATACAACATGCCCAAAACAGTCGGCTACTATTTTTATACAATGCAAAAAATTCAATTAACTTACATTTTTTCTCCAATTGACAATTGATTTCCTCTTTTTGAAATTCGCAATTTAAAAAAGTAACGATTACAACGATTATAACGATTTACAAAAAATGCATTTTTACTTGCATTCATTTCCCATTTGTGAGATGCAACTTCTGTTAAAATTTCGTAAAAATCCGGCCACAAATAATAAAAGTTTCCGTTGCACATGTGCAATGAATTTCTGTTTATAAGAAGATTTTAGAGGAATTTTTTCGTAAGCGACACAGAAAAAATTCGTTCCATGGTGCAAGTCTCGACAGCATTTCGAACCAAACTGCGAAAAAAGTAGAATAATAGTTCTTAAGATAAAGAACTAGTAGCGACCGAACGGCTGTAGGGACGGACAGACGGACGGACAAAGTGGACACAATAGCGCATTTTTTTTTAAATTTTGGTGGAAATGCAAGTATACCTATTGTATCTCCTGGTAAGTTTCACTATTGGTATAAAGTGAATTTTGAGAGACGGTTGGCGAATTTGAATGAGGAATAAACCGGGATTCGGGTTTCCCGTGGTGTAGTAGTTGAAATTTAGTTACCCACTGGAATTATTTACCATTGTTCCGCAATACGGACATAATGCCCTTAGGTATAACTTAGAATTTTAAAAGCTAGTAAAAGCGCGAATTAATTTCTTTTACACTTTTACCGATTGACGTTTAGATTAGAATCTATAATCACCCACCAGAGAGGTACACAAATTTGATGAATACGTCATTTATTATTGGTTTTTCTCAATGGCAACTCACAATGAATTAAAATGCACCACGACAATAATTTTGTTGAAATGGCGGCACAGTTTTCCTTTGGAATTCGGTAATTAACTTTGTTAACGCCGTATTATTATATTTTATATTACTAAGATATAAACTAGATGGAGTAAGTGTGGCTTTATTAATGTTAATGCAATTTGAATGCGATGAGTGGGGCAAAAGAGAAAAATTTCCCACATTCGAAAAGCTGCATCGAATCGTGTTTGTTTTGAAGCAATATACTTTTCCAAGTTTGAAAATCAATCCATTTTTTTCTTGTTTTTTTTTGTAAACTCGGTAGTGCTGGACGAATTCAACCCTTCCTTATTGTCACCCCTTGATCTCCTTATTCCCCCCCGTGCATTGTAGTGGTCGCCCAGCACCGACTGAATTGTAAGTATATTTATATTTTTTCCATATATTTTGTGTTTTGAATTTATCAAAAAAAATATACAAACTTCAAGTTTTGCAATAACATACCACGGTCGATTACGCGGCTGGCAGGTTTTTTGTATACTTCGATTATACGGCTTCGTCTCGAACCTTTAATTTAAAATAAAATGTTCTGCGATCAAAAAATGCTACTGTCGATTTACATAGATTCATCTTAAGCGTTCAACCAAGAATACTTCTCTCTATTTTCTCTAATGTACTCGCAGAAACCCAACGAAAACCAAGCTTCGGCTATGTTTTTCTTATACTTGTAAAGGTGTAGCGGAAAGTGCTCCATCGTGCTCCGCAAGGACGGTTTTTAGAACCGGCAACACTGTGATGATTTGACTCTTTTATCTGATTGTACACTCGCTTCTTATCTTAACGCACATCATTCTCTCGCATATTTGTTCCGTTCTGTGTTCTCTTTCATTATGATGCGTTACACGCATAAAATTTTCTTACCTGCGAGAAATTTTGTAAAATTTGAAACCAAAATGTTCTAACCGACAACCTGTTATAACATAAAACCACACCTTTTCTTAAAAACGGTCAATATTTGCCAGCAGACACAAATGTCAGCCTAAACACGTCTTCACTTGGACATGAAATACTCGCAGACACTAATTTTCTGGACTTTTGCTACAAATAACTATTTTCACAATAGGTTGGAAACAATGTTCAATGCCCAGCTGAAAATAAAAAACCATAATTTATTTATCGAAAAAATACCCCGCATTCACCCGCATAATTATTTCGCGAGGCACAAACGTGGCTGCTCACTGATCACTTCTTGTTTCATTCCCCCGAAAAAACTCTTCTAATTCCTATTTTCTTAAATTTTTAGAATACGCCTACAAAGTGGTGCTAATTGGTTACAACGGCCATCTTTACGCGTTTAGCCAATAATCTTGGTGTTCTCCAACCATTCATACGTTCACAAAAGCCGTAGCCAGAAGCATTGGTACTACAAAGTCAATGGTACTACTTACAATATGTAACGAGTACCTGTGACACAGAAAATATTACATATTAGACTCGCCAGCAGAGAATGTCCGTCACAGAACACTTGACGCCGGTATACAATTATATGCTTTAATATGAAAAACATACGATTGTAGACCGGTATCAGGTATTCTGTCACCGTCTTTCTCTCCTGGCGAGCATTGTACAGGGTAGGTCAAATGCTTTTGGATTAATCAGAAAATCGTTAATTTATTGTAAAAAATGTATTGGTATAATAGCATTTCATAATAATCATGAACGGAGAATTAAATCTGGCATGTGATGTGATGTCCGTTTTCGTTGCTTTTTCCAATAGGTCTCTGTTCATTTGTTGACGGATATTACTGAAACCACAAATGTTGGTGATCCAAACGCCTTTTGAATTTATTTATTTCGAAACACTCGCAATACATCAACAGGAAAATTATGGTATAAAGTGGGAACACAAGCCCGTTTCATTATCCCACACACAAGTGGTCAACACAAATAACCAAAGAAAGTCTAAAATTACTTACAGTTTTCTCTTAAAACTCTCAATTTCAAATGTAACGCGCAATAAGGAGCGTCCCCTCTTCCATAGGAAAATTACGCGCAAAAGAAATTGTGCATCTGTATGCTTTTTTATCAGCGCTAAATATACGTGCATCTCGAAAATTAATTAGCTTTCGCGATAACAACGCACCGAGCAGATAGCACTTAAATGCACGCGACCAGATGTTCCTTAATTTTAAATAACGCAATTTTTACATCTTATAATTTAAACAAGCAAATTTACACAAATGATAACATTTAACAAAGAAATTAAGCAATTAAAAACAATTCTAAAATAGAAAAATAACCGCTAAAATAACAAATTCCGGTAAAATAAACTACCTCTACGCTTATTTGTAAAGAAATCCTTCAGATTTAAATTGAATTAATACATTCACACATACAGGATGTTCCGTTATCCTCTTTGATTATTTCAGCCTAAATAACATCCACATGACGATATTTACACAATATCTCCTTATGTGTTACAAGAGCTAAAATGAATACAATGAGGTCTAGTGGTAGATCGCAATAATGTACTACACCTTGCGCCTTTATTTTTTTTTCTATACACCTATGAATATTTTGTGATTCGCTTTAATGAATTTTAGGACAACCTGGCAAGACTAACAGATTCGATCGAAACGCTACATCAAATGAAAAAGATCGCACTACACATTGACCAACACCACGTGGTTTCTTGTGCGTACGATGGATTGGTAATAATTAGAACGGTCGACTTTAAAGAGGTAAAGGCCATTATAATGCCGCATTACCGGAATTATGGAGGAGTCGCAAAGGCTTATGTAGATCCCCTAGGCAAATGCGTTATTTCATTGGGAAGGGATAACACGCTTACTTGCATATCATTGACTGACATTGAAGTAAATCAAACCAAACAGGAGGTACTTCACGAACTGCACACTCGACTCGAAGCAATGTTTGCTAGACCAACCTATGGATTGGCACCTACAGGTTTGTAAATTGGTAATCAAATTAACTTCGTTACGGTTTTGTTGTAGGCGAATTGGAAGGAAAGACTTGGTTCGAAGTTGAAAAAATAAACAAGGAGATACGAGAGCGTATAGCATGCGCCCAGGAACGACACGACATACTTTTAGAGTTCACGAAAATTCAGTACGAAATTAAAGAGCTGTTAACGAAAAATCTAGAAGGTCCAGAGAATGAGAGGCTGGACATACAAGAATTCAACCTCGACATTGCTCTTAAACAAGAAAAAACGCTGCAGTCTCAGGAAGAATGTAAACGTACCAAACAGTACCTGGAGGCGTTAATTGTAGCACAAGATAACGTGTCCAAATGGATAAAGCAATTTTGTTGGAATCCTATGAAAGTTCAAGGTCAAGATTTGGGAGCAATATTTGAAGAATTTATTGTGGAAAACTACGTGCTACTTGATCACGATGTAGGGTTTACTACGAATACGTTGGAGGTAGTAACGGAACTTCGTAATTTGGAGCAGAACATGTCGAAGGGTGATTCACTGGAACCGTGGGTTCCAAAAACTGTAAGGTTAGTATTCAAGAGATACCTACTCCAAAGCCAAACTGTATACGACACGAAAAGATATCTCTTTCTGACTACCTACCTATTTACGATTACCACTGGTACTACTTATTTTTATCATCTATCCACCACTACTTTTTTATTTATTCCCATTCCTTCATTGAGTTAAATGCTCAGTTCTTTATTAGAACTATTGACCGATCTACACAAACCAGAGACTTGCTATAACTAGACTGCGCTTAACGTATCTAAGGTGTTGTCGACACAGTATGCAACACACAATGCACCGCGGGGCAAAAATCGCAGAGATGATATGCAATATAATGAAATAACCTGTTATTTTAGATGTTCCGTTCATTAATCATTCTCGTGATTAGCTCGAATTAGTAAACAGATAAATTTCTTTTGCGAATAAACCAATGAACTTAGGTTAACTCGTGCGTATCAACATGTACTCTGTCGATAAAATTTTAAATAATATGCAGATTTTCAACGGATAAAAGTTTAAAGGGCCAATGGATTAGATTCGAAGAGAAAAATTTACTCCCACCATAGTGCCTTTGCGGGGAATGAAGCCGATTTTAGAAAGGTACCGACGAAGGTGTTAAACAATAATGCAATACCGAGCGTTTTCGACTTTCCCATTCACTTAAAATAACGTAGAACTATTATTCGACATCCTTTACCAGCAAGACAACGGCAGTACCTATTTGCCTATTACGTATAGACGTAACTAAGTACTTACTGGTACTAAGTATATTTCAGGTTTTGTTACAACAAAAAAAAAGCTAAGTCTGTTAAATGTTCCATATGTGCATCTGCGATATTCGCATCAGAGAGTCATTTAAAGCTTTTAACTAGAAAAAATCGTGGAGGATTGTTGCACGTATCAAGCGATGCATGAAAAATTTGCCAAATTGCTGAAAATGTGTTCAGGTTTTTCATTCAATTCACACCACACCGCGTTGTAAACAAAATGGTTATCAGCAGTCTAAAAAAAATAAATAACAGTTACAGCCCATTTGGGTTTTTGGCTAGGCATATATTGAATCAAAATCCGCTAAATAATCATATCTTACTACTTACATCTTTAGTTTTAAGAGTATATTTTCTCATACGTGTTCACCACCAAAATACACATATAAATCAAATTAGGACTAGAGTAAGGCAGTTATATACTAATTTAGTTCAAATAAAATACCAATAAATTCGATTAAAACAGTTAACATTTATATGTTATCTTTTTTTGCTACTAAAATTTAGAATAAACATATGCTAAAGCAAGATGCAAAACGTACGTCCGCCCCGCGATGAACAGTTGGTTGCCTATCCTATCTTGACAACAGGCGTTTATAGTAAAATCTACGTTACGCGCGGTCTAGTTATAGCAAGTCTCTGACACAAACAATGTTGTGGTGACGTTTTTCTCCAAACTTTCTCATGTTACATAGGTATGTGTTCCCTTTTAGCCAACTCAACTTACAATTGGAACAAGCGCCAAAGCTATCTAAAGCTGAAAGAGGTGTCAACTTACTGGAAGTGTTAGAAGAAGAAGAAAACATAAACGAGGACCTCATTGATGAAGATACCGAAACGGCGTTTAAAGGTTCCGTGTGCCACAGTTACATTAAATTACACGAAGGCCATTACTCTCAGATGCAAGTTCAAAGTTTTTTACAGACATACATCTCACGCATGCATAGCTTGGTAAATGTCGTTCAAAGAAATTATACTTTTCAGTTTGCCAGTCAACGTATTTATTTCAGGTGGAAATAAAAAAGGTGAAGGAGTATTTCAATAAAGTTTTTAACGATATGATGAACACAAAAACTAGGGAAATGGGTTTAATTACGGAACGAAATGCAAGACTCCGGCACATTATATCAGAAATCAACTACTTTTCTGTTGATCAAATTGACATTGTCGTAGTAGACCCGCCTTGGCGTCCAAACGAATTTCCGGAACGGATATTGACTGTTGATGACAGTGAAGTAAGTTCATATACCTACAAAAAATTTACTGTCTATCCACACATATGTACCTACAGTGTGTAGATAAATATACAAACAACGATAGAAATTGGTACATACAGTGTGAGTTTTTTTTCATTTTAAGCATTGGGATCTCGGAATCCATAAGACATAAGGATTCGGTTAAATGAGGAAAGAGTTGTCGTTTTAAGAACTTATTTAAGATATGCCTTTGTTTTTTGAAAAAAATCCACAGTTCCCTAGATATGAGCGAAAAACAGATTTAATGATTTTTCATTTAACTGTTGTAGAATCGTTATTATTAGAAATACAACAAAATGACACGAATAAAAGCTTTAGCCATTTTAATGCTTAACATGATGAACATACTAATTTATTTTTAGATCTTACAATTTTTGAGTTATAATACAAACTTTAATTTTTTAAATGGTAGCCATAGTTGGTTTTGACATTTTTAAAACAGGACAACATTTTCTCTTTCTAACGATATAAGGCTTGCTAAATTTACTTTAATAAACGCCCTGCAGTAATTTTCGTATTATTGAGAGGTAAGTATAAACAGGGGTCCGTGAAGTTAGCAGAACATTGACGGCACAAATGTCGAGACTAGGTGGATTGGTTAGTGCTACGTTTGTGCCGGTTTGTGCCGTAAAAAGTTTGCCAGCAAAACATACGGTTTGAAAATTATTTCGATTTTTAGAGGTTCTGCTAATAGGCCAGTCATTGAGGATTTTTTACCTGGAAATAACTTGGGAAGTACAGAAATTCTGTATGCTTGAGTGCGTAGAACTAAAATTCATAAAATCCCACAATTCGAAACTTGCCGCCGGGGCCGCCATCTTACTAAGATGGCCGTCAAAAGCGATTTTCCGCCGATATCTCCAAAACTGTGCATTTTACGAGAAAATATGCGGTGAGCAAAATTAAAGAGACGAAAATTTCCTACAAAAAATGTAGTTAGCATATTTTCACTAAAGTTAGCCCTTACGCAGAAAAGCAAAAATTTTTAATATCCAATGGCGTATATTTTATCAAAATAATTCATTAATCATTTAATTAATTAATCACATTGATTAATCATTAGTATATGATCAATTAATTTAAGGATTTTATTTTAGTCGTCGCAATATGTATAAGTATAGCTACACATACTCGTAATCGTAGCATGATTCAAGCTGCCTCTAACTAGAAGAAGAGCTATAAAGAAACATCTAATAATTTTCCATTTTGTCGAAACTGAATTACAATCAGATTCATGCATTCAAAAGACACTAGACACTAGACACTCCTAGACAATAGTAATTCCAATCATTCATCAAAAGGTGTTCTCGTTCTTCACAGATTTTTACAACTCCTTACATATCACCAAGTACTCAAGCTATACTCGATGCGAAAGCCGCCGAAGCTGAACGAATTCGTCTGCTGCTTTTGGCCGACGACTTTAGAGAACGAGCTTTAATGGCAATGATGAACGGAGTTCTTGAAGTTAGATGGGAGGATGAATTACGAAAAGACGTTCCGTTGCCGAAATGCATGGTATGTTAACAGTTCATCACAATTACTAATCCACCTACTTTCTGTAACAATAGATAGATAAGGCGCCTGAAACTTTCAATGAAGACGATTTGCGCGCGGTGCGAGATTACGAAGAAGCGGTCAAGTTTTTAAACAGCGAACGAGAAAGATATAAAAAACTTTTAAACGCCGAGTACGCAAAGATTGGCGGCATCGTAAGGGACAGCGTTAAAAAATTTAACAAAAAACTGGCAGACTGTTACTTAACCAAGTTGCTAGTGGATTCTGGAATCAAACAAGAAAATTTACGGATATCGCGACAACAACTAAAAAATCACGAAAGAGTAATGTTGAATAAGAGTGAGTTACATATTGTGTAAGTAACATTTCGTAAATCTACTCCTACTCCAGTTTTCTTAACCTTTAGGCAAAATTTGAAGAACAATCACGAAGAGTCGGTGCGTCTACATGATAAAATTTCCAGTTTCCAGGAAGTACTAAAAGAACTGAAATTGCAGTTGGAAAACCTGCAAGTTAAAGATAAGCTTTTGGAAAAAGGGTTTAAGAAAGATTTCGCAGATGCGAGTTCTGTGGTTCAAGAACAATGCGCCAAATTGTACAAGTAAGTTTCTTTTTCCTCAGCTCAGTGATACGATCCTTTAATTTTAATTTAACGCCCGCGTTCACTAACCAAAAATCAACTCTCAAATGAAGACATTACACGATTGCATCACCTTTGTCATTAACATACATGCCCCGATATTCAGAATTTTATAATCATATTATAGTTAACAGTTATAAAATTACACTCATTGTAGCTACGGCCTGATGATGGATTTATGTCCGAAATCGATCGCTCAATATAGAAGATAATAAAAAATTCAGTCTGTTGTTATAGAGCACAAATATAACTCCATACTTACCTTAAACAAGTATAAATTGTGCACAACTTTTGTGCAGATAAAGCTATGGTTGGTAGAAATTAATTCCTTTCGTTGAGACCTTTCATTAGAGTACCATTAAGATCCCCCACCCCCTCCCCCTCCGCCCCGTACTTTAATAAGAGAACAGGAAGAAGGGCAGTAGCTGGTAGAAAGCGGTTCCTTTCGTTGAGACCTTTAATGAGAATACAATGAGAGATAAAATTAATTTTTAACCCCCCCCCCCCCTTCCCCTCGAAAAAAAGTCGCACGGGAAAGTTATAGTTTGTACAAACCAATTTATTTCGATGAAACCTTTCATTAGAATACCACGAAGGGTAGAACATGTGTTTACCCCATTTTCTAAAGTTTAACTTGGCACCTCTAAAGGCATGCGTATGCAAAATCTGTTACCAATTGGTCGTCGTATGTAAAAGTTATGCAAGTGTTACTTTCAAAAACAGCATCTCAGGAAATAATTCGTGGGGAGGGCCCCCTTTTAGACAGCGAAATTTGATGGCCGTCTTGCACACCTGCAAGGTATAGGCTACCTATTGCAAAAATTTCCAGGGGTCTAGGGCCATTCCCCTAGAAGTAGTTCGAAACGTCAGATGTGGGTCCGGACGGACGGACGGACAAAATGCAAACAATAGCACATTTTTTTTAATTCTTAAAAAATGCACTAAAAATGAATAGCAAATGGTTAAGGCGGTCTACCGCCCTTCAAACAATACTATGTAACGTGTAAATACATATTTTAAAATATAATACATTAATTTCATTATAATCAATTAATTTTAAAAATACAGTAATAATACTCTTAGAAAAAGGAAAACAAACAAAAAAAATAAGAGGTACTAACAAAAACATAAAAAACAACCATATCCTTGAATCTTATAAATACCGTTACAAAGACAATTGAATTACCATTTTAAATTTGATTGCTAAATATATCATCTTAACTACTAAGCTTTTAAAAGCAGTAAACGAGTGGTTCAAATAAGGAAATAGTTGAATGAGAAAAAATATCGCATTATAAGCAAAACTTTCTTTAAATTTGTTTGTGTGATACTGTGGAATGGTAAAATTATTTAATCTTAAGGCTGGACAGTACACCCGTTCCGTTGCCCGAAAACGCGTGATTTCGTTCCACGATATCTTAATTCTGAGTGAAGTTGAAGAAGGGGTCGAATATTCCTGTGAAAGGTGAATGCTTTAGCTAGACAATAACGCCGGGGTTTACTAAAATGTTTTAAAATAATCTTTTTTTTAAGGGCAACGTCGAGGGCTGTTAGGGTGTCATATTTTGGAAAAGAAAAAAGGAAATAAATTTTCCTGGCGTTATTGCCTAGATATTAAGTTTAAGAACGTATCTTAATTTTGGAAATTGTTCCAACTTCATTTATAGATAAGTTATCTTGAAAAAACAACTTAAAAGTTTTCCTCAAAAGCGCGAAAAGATAGCTTCCGCCGCGTGGCTGGTTTTATACAGATAGAAAATGTGCATTATAATTGGACTAAGTTTATGTTTTTACCATCGAACACAAATTAATATTATAAATAACCAAATTTTGGGATTGACAATAGGCAACTTTACATACTCCGTTCTGTATGTACTGTCCAGCTTTAAGTTTAAACTATATGCATCTGACCTCTTTCTTAGGAAATTATACAGATATTTAGGTTGTTTTTCCTTATTTAGTTTGTATAAAAAAAGACAAAATGTGTATTTAATTCGTTGAGCAACATTAAAATGAAATTAACGTTCTAAATATGGTGTGATAAGGTTTTACTCAGTTAGAAGACTTCTGTACTTAATATTAAATAATATAATAAATAATATAAATAATTAATATTAAATTCTTCGTTGTGAGTGCAATAGAAAATTCCTTTTAAACGTTTCAAACAGATTAAGAAAATGAATAGATTGAATAATGCTTCTATTTACTGTTTAAGTTAAAATTCTCACCCGTAAAAATCCTTAGCTAAAACACTCTGTGTGGAAAACAAATGAAAGATTACACTTTATTTTAATTATACAGTGTCTACAGCTACCTCTCGAGTTGACCAACTTAGGAATACTGGATTACCTTCTATATAGGTCTCGTGGAATGGAACTGAAGATTGCAGATGCTGACTCCTGTCTCGAAGCGAGAAATCCTAATGGACCTCGAAAGCTCAAATACTACTCGATTTACGTAACCCCCAAATATCGGAGTTAATTTTACTAAGACGTACAAATGCTAATTCCATTATTATGGCCGAAGTTTTTCTTTCTGAATAGAAAAATTCCTTTTTGAATGGGGCTACACACGCAATTTTTGCCAATAGATCGGATGGTCGATTTAACTTACTGGCTCAAGCCAAGTTGACGCATTGCGCATTAAAACTACCCTATCGTTTCGACACAAAATTTGCGCAATCCCAACGCGTATACTCATATTTTCGGCACGCACGTGATTGATTTTCCCTTATCGCCTTTTGACTTAGTATAGAAACCTTCTTTATCGTACTATTTCACCCGCATAGAATTCTAAGTTCGCGCTTACGAACTCTACCGCCTTGCTGTCTGCTAATCCCCACTTTCGTACATTTTTCAGAATACGCCTACAAAACGATGCTAATAGATTACCGTCTTTAATTCATTGAGCTCTTTAAATGCCATTCATCAGAAACCACTAGAGCTTACAATTGCTGATTTAGTTGTTACCACGCTACGTTGTGGCATGATTATGAGCTATTCTGAAGCAGTCTTTTACTCAAGCTCGTTATCGCATGCCAGACGACCGCCAATAGCTTTCCCAAGCAAGCTGTCAGTAACCTTTGACTTACACAACAATATAAAGCACCAAATTCATTATTTCAAAAGTTTTTGGGGTGGCCAAACTTGATCGCCACTCGCCAAATGTAAAACGTGTGCGCTAGAGACAGTCCAAGTAGCCCAAATGGATACAAAAATGGTTCACGTCGGCAACATTAATCACAAATCGTAGCGATAAATCGCTGTTATTGTGTACACGTTCCAATTTATCGCTACGATTCGCAGAAATTGAAGCCGGCCACCATCAACCATCCAATCCAATTCCAATTCCGATAAATCGCTACAATCCTCTGTTCACACGCAACGATAAATCGTAACGATTCGATCGTTACGATAAATTGTTACAATTTATCGTAGCGTCTAAACCGCGCTTAATGCGCCTACATCCATGTGTTCTAGTTACTCTAGTAAAAAATAAAAATTTTAAGAAAAAAATCAGTTTAAATAAAAACCGCTAGAGAGCTCCCGTTACAGAATTACAAGAATGTATGAACGGCTTTAAACATTATTTTGTCGCAATTTTCATCTAGTTAGTATGTGACCGATCTATACTATATCTATTTGTTTCGTATGCATATTCAATAACCTAAAAGGTCATTTGATTTTATTCCTCGATATCTGATTTTAATACACAGCACAACGGCGAGAACTTCTGGGGGTGAATATTTAGGCGAATATTCCGGGGAGACGAATTTACCGGGAATAATTTTTCTACATTCGAATCTTTTATCTCTTTTTGTAGCGTGTTTTCCTCAAAGTAAAAAATCGCTATTGGCTGCACTTTGTCGTCCGTCCGTTTGTCCGTCCATCCATCACACGTACTCCTTCACCTTACACTACTGAACCGATTTGGGCGATGTCGGGCTCATTTGAAAGAGCTTGGTCCAAGGATTCCGTGCATACCGATATTTTTTGGTTTTGCGCATGCGCAGTGTCAAAAATTTGGTTTTACGCATGTGCAATGCTAACTTTTTATTTATAAAGATATATAAACGAAACTTTATATGTAAACACTACAAATATAAGTAAAATTAACGACGTTTTCAAAATGTTGTTTTGGGCATGCGCAATGCCAACTTTCTTATTTATGAAAGAATTTAAATGAAATTTTATACATAGGCATTTGGAATAAAGACAAATCTAACACCAATTGCAAAATTTGGTTTTGTGCATGCGCAATGCATCTTTGAATGAAACTAAAACTAATACCGATTTCAAAATTACTGTTAACACATGCTGTATGTTTTATTTATGAAGTTATTCAATCAAATTTCTAATGCAGACAATGCGCAATGCTATTTACGAAAGCATTTAAAAAGAGTTTCATATGATGCAGACATTTAATTAATGCCCATTTCAAAATTTGCTTGTATTTATATACGCTCCACTATTTTTCATTAAACTGTATAGACTTCGAGTACTTCGACGATAAGCGAGAGGCGGCTTATTTGAAAGAGAATGGGGTAAGGATCCCCTAGTTCTCAGTTCTAGCATTAATATATTATTAGGAGGAAAATACGCTCTTGTCATTTATGTTTGCATAATGACTTTTTCACTTGTCTCTGTTAGGCGTCGTCCGAAAGTGAGTATTCGAATAATTCCCACTGTTGCTTTAACCTTGGAGGCTGCTAGGACATTGATGTCGCAAGAGAAAACGATCCTTTTAACCAGCGAGTGTCTAGAATTTTTAAAGTCTGCAGATTTATTGGACCAATACGTCAATGTTCCCCCAGCTGTGGACGAACACTACTATGCAATTGTATGCAGACATCGAAGAATGAAAATTGAAATGGAACTGAAGGTATATATATATCGATCTACTTATATAACTATTTGGGGTTTATACCTACTCATTGTGGACGTATTTTTAGGCCCGAGCTCTTCAGCTTGACATTCAGGATGCTGAATATACAATCTCCCAGTCACAAAAGCGCTTACATCAACTGAAGGAGGACTCCCAACAACTCGTGCTACATTTGGAGGAAGTGCGAAACAAAAGGATGGAATTATTTCATAACATTGAAATACAACTGGTCTTGAAACAAGGATTGGTAGAAATTCCGTTAAGTGGTAGCATAACCGATTTTGATAACGCTGTATTGGTGAATCGTAAAGACATTGAGACAATCAACAGAATAATTTTGGTAAATATTTAGAGAAAACAATTAACCACAAACTCCTTGATCTTTTAGAAAGGAGGTAATAAAAAAATTAAGGCAATGAAAGAGACCATGAATTTTCGAAGAAATATTATTGCAATGGAATGGGAACATCGGCGATTACAGATGAAAATTGCAGATTTGAAAACGAACTATCAAGAGGTCGAGGGTATAAAGGTCCGTAATTTGGTGAATGCCACAAACAACGCACTAAATATCTAACTTTTTTAGGTCACCAAAGATATTCAAAATTATTTAAAATTTAAAGCCAGAGGTTACTCGTTGGAGAGGGGGCTGTCATTCGAAGACGAAATTGATATGCAGAAAGCCGCGTTTGAAAAGATAATACAAGAAAAAAAAGATAAAGTGAACGAATTGCAGCAAAGTATAAATAACGTCAAAAAGGAGAACAGAAAGCTTGATGACGAAATCGCCGCAGTGAACGTGGACGTCTGTGAATATCAATTGGAGAAAGACTACGAAATGGAAGAGCGCGAGAAGAACATAATCAAGATACGGTAAGTATTTACATGTGCTTATTTTCCGTTTTTTTATATAATTTTTTTTTAGAATGAAGACTTTGGTTAAAAGATCTTTACTAGTGAAACAAATTCAAAAAAATCATAGCGACATTTTGATGTTACAGACAGAACTAGAGCTTTTGAGGTTGAAAACATATCCAACTCTTTCGTATACAATCTTAACAGACTAGACGTAGAAAAACAATGATGCAAAGCTTATAGAACTACCTACGTGAATGCCAGTGTAAATCGTTCCTTCATGGTGTAAATGTGCGACTTTTCCGAAATGCCCATAAGTAGTGTGTTAGGTTTTATGCCATTTGTCTAAATTTTGTCAATTATTTAAGCGACTTTATGGATCTATTAAAGGCCTCTCGACTTTCTTTTAACGCATTTTTAAATGAACTAAAAAATACACATTTCTATATTGCATTTGACATTGTGTGCTGAACAAGTGTTTTCACGAGCATTGAAAGCAAGACGAGCCGTCAATGGCCTATCTATAGGATGTTTTGTTTTCCAATCAAATTAACGGATAAACAACGATTTTGACGTGAAAATAAGTACATGTCGCTACCAACAATTCATCATTATCTTACATTTTAATATATTGGTTAAGTCGTTAAGTATCCAAATTAACCAGTAGGATCGGTTATACCAATACCACAAGAATTCAGTAGTTGAAGCACTATAGTCCAATAGTAGGCGAGTCCAATAGGGGTTTTTGGGATTTACTCAAGCGCAGCAGACTAACATAAAGAGGGATGCTGCACTTTGCTGAGTACCCCCACGTAAGTACTACATATACGTATATGGCTGCGTGATAATAGAAATTCTGGCCAAAACGGCTTAAAAAACTCTACAAAAAAGTTTATTACAATTTTTTTGTGAGTTCTTTTGTTTTTGAGAAGTTTTGAATTGAAAAGTTAAACTATTTATTTTATTTTTTTAAATTTGCATTTTTCTGAGATCTACAAAAAAGGCTTGTACACTTTTTGAGTCGGGTTCAAAATAAAGGCGCTAGAGCGCATTTTCTAAATGATATACTATGACCAAAAATTATTGCAATGACTCTATTAAAAGTAGTTGGAAAGTCAAGTCAGGAGTTTACCTGACAACTAGTTATTTATGAAGTTATTTAAATGAAACTTTGTATATGAACACTACGAATATAAGTAGGTAAGTAAAATTAACGATGTTTTCAAAAGGTTGTTTTGCGCATGCGCAATGCCAACTTTCTTATTTACGGAAGCATTTAAATGAAATTAATTAATACATAGATACTCGGAATACAAGCAAATCTAACACCAGTTTTTTCTTTTTTATGAAAGCAGTTCATATTTTAAATACAACACCATGTATTTATTGCATTTTCAAAATCTATATGAAAATCTAAGTTGTTTGATATTATCTTTCCCTATAGTCAGCATCAAAGGTTGTCATAAGTTATTCAAGATTTTTCAAAATATGGCATTGGCCTCGTAGATCAAGTTGACCATTCGTTTTAAAACACCCTGTAGAAGGGCGCTCAAGATTTAAATCATTGTCACGCAGCATCAAGTCAATACTGTCAATATTGGAATAATTGTTTAATATCATATTATGTAATATGTAGGCACTTTGAATTAAACTAAAACTAATACCGGTTTCAAAATTACTGTTTACGCATGCTGTATGTTTTATTTATGAAGTTATTCAATGAAATTTCTAATGTAGACAATGCGCAATGCTATTTACGAAAGCATTTGAAAATAGTTGTAGAGACTTTAAATAAAAGTAAAACTAATGGCCATTTCAAAATTTGTTTTTATTTGTATACGCTCCACTATTTTTCATTAAATATAGACTTCGACGATAGGCGGCTCATTTGAAAGGATCAGAATGGGGTAAGGATCTCCTGCCTACCGGTATTTTTTCCTGGTCCTAGCATTAATATTACTAAGAGGAAAATAGGCTCTCGTCAATTATGTTTGCATAATGACTTTTGTAACTTGTTTTTTCTATAAGTTCATTAAATTTATGCGACTGTTTGCATTAACTATTTGATTTGAATTAATAGAAAGGATAATAGTTATAATGTCACAATGGAAAAGATACTACGGGAGACTTATTTTAATACGGTAGATAGGATAGGTACATTTTTTTTTCACTACTAGCGTCTGATGACATGATTATTAACCTTTTTTCCACTTGTAAAGTAGGCTTACTCGGCATTTGTTCAAAGTGGTTAATAATTTTTTATTATTAACTAGTAGTCAATAATGAGAACTGTCACGCTGTCACTTTTAGAAAACACAACCCGAAATTTCGCTCAATGAACGTTTAGACAAGTTCTCTAAAACGAATAATTGCCACCATTCGCAATTTCCAGAGAAATTACATACCTAAAATTATCACATTTTGAAAAAATTCGAACGAAATTACTCTTTGAAAAATCTCAATGACAGAACAAAATACGGCCTGTTTGACTTGTACTTCTACGTACTTGATTGACATGTTAAATTAAGAAACAAACAATTCTGTCCAACCGTTCACTCTCTTATCAATATAATATGTTAATTTAGAGGATTTCAAGTGCTAGTAGTGAAAAAAATAGTATATATACCACGGTAGAAAAGTCTATTATTGCCTTCGCACCTTACACCCCTCGGCGCAAGCGCCTCGAGATGTAATCTTGGTGCTCAGGCAATAATACTGTACTTCTCTACCTTGATATATAATGTACTATTATTATACCATGGGTACATTCAATTGAGAAAATTTGCCTCGAATTCTTCTCTATCCGATTTAAAATCATATATATAAGAGAAGATATATATGTTTAAAATGCGCCGTTAAAACATCGGGCGCGTTCAGTGGCAGTTTTATACGCAGCAAATCTGATGAACAGCTACACTAATAATAATCTGCTTTTTGGCCAGCAGCTGTACGCAGTTTACTCAACGGGAATTCCTGATGCTTACTTATGATTTGTCGCTGTTGTCCGCTAACCGCGGTCATCGTTAAAACAACTTACCAGAATCGCATTCATCCACTTTTCACGCGTTTCAGCATCTTTTGGTTTAATACTTTTACATCCCGTTTTATATTTCGGCACAATGCACGGTTTGCTGATTTTTCTCAAAGCAGCGGTTTTTTTTGCGTAGCTGTAGAGGTTCAAGGCGGCGATAGTCCTTTGTTTTACAAATTATTACAAGCAATGAATACAAGTCAGTCATGGCAATTGTCAAAAATCATCCCTCGCTCGACTCATGCTCCGCCCGTGACGACTTTATGGTACTACGCGATCGATGACGCGTAAGAGTCTCACTTCTCATATAGGAAATAGGCTGGAGTATCCAGACCTGTATATACGACTACGACCGTGGATGTAGCAAATATGCAGTACAAGAGCCACAGACCATCTACTGTCGTTTGGCAATTATCGAACCACAAACGTTAACATCTTACAAAATACAAACAAATTTTGGCGCTTAAAAGAATCTGAGGTTAAAAATTAACGTCTGCACTTAGAAGAAATAGCGATACTCTGAGCGTCTGCAGACTGTTATTTATATTTTTGGGCCCTTGGATTGTTTCTTCCTCGGTTTCTTCATAGCATTTTGGTTATATCAGCTATGGATACTCCAGATACTGGTACAAATATTATCTCATTAGACAGTTTAAACACATTCTTAAGTCAGCGAGATAACTCAGAAAATGCATTTTATATATCAACGATTCCAAAGATGTGTACCGAAGCTCCCTGCATTTTAGGAATTGATGAAGCTGGGAGAGGCCCAGTCTTAGGTAGGTTAATAGATTTTCATCTTTGGATGGATTTTGTCTCGGATTTTGTTTAATACTTATTTGCAGGCCCTATGGTGTACGGAATTGCATTCTGTCCTATAGATAAGAATGAAATGCTAAAATCCTTTGAATGTGCAGATTCTAAAGCATTAACAGAAGCAAAACGTGACGAGATATTTTCAAATATGTGCACTTCAACAGATGTAATTGGCTGGGCCGTTGATATTATTTCTCCGAATCGAATTAGTAACAGTATGCTAAGTCTTAAGAAACATTCCTTAAATGAAGTTTCTAAAGAATCTGCAATAGGATTGATTAAAGCCGTAGCCTTTGCGGGGGTTGTTATCGAACACATTTATGTGGACACGCTTGGAAGTCAACCAGAGAAATACCAAGCATACTTGTTAAATATTTTTCCAAATTATAAAATAACTGTAGCTAAAAAAGCTGACTCTCTATATCCAATTGTTTCTGCAGCAAGCATTTTTGCAAAAGTCACCAGGGACCATTCTTTACAAACTTGGAAATTTTCCGAAGGTTTTGACTTAAATCATAAAGACTTTGGAAGTGGTTACCCAGGTGATCCAGTAACGAAGAAATTTTTGAAAGAGTATTTAGATCCTGTGTTTGGTTTTCCTCAAATTGTTCGATTTAGTTGGAGCACCGCCTCAAAAATTCTAGAATCTGATGCATATCCTGTCGAATGGATGGAAACCGAAGATGAAAATCCAAAATCAACCCAGTCTACACAAATTACTTCATTTTTTAAAATGGATAAAGAAACAAAGAAAAAACATTCTTTTTTTGCTCAAATGTGTCTTACAAACTCCACACCATTCTAGTTTTAAGCCATAATTTAAGCTGCTTTTAGTTATTATAATTGCAACAAATATAATATTTACTTTGCAAGATATTTGTAGTGTAATGTAGGTATAGTGTTTTTCAACAAAATAATTACCATTGATTATCCATTTTAACAATGATAATGCCAAATTAGCCTATGTTCAAATTGAATTAGCAGTAATGAATCTTATGTTAGGAAATTAAATATTTTACTTTTTCTTTTGTATTCCACAAAAAACTAACGTTTATACAGAGCGGATGCGTTCAATCCCAGTTTGTTAAAAAAAAATTAGGACAGAGAAACAATAGCAAAATTTTTTTGTTTGGAACAGAGACATGGAGTGGTAGATGTCTCTGGTTTGGAACTACAACTTTCTTTACTTTTTACTGTTACCACAGACAACATTTATACTACAGACCATTGAATTTCAATGTACAGACGGTCAATGCAATGCTATAGAATAAACGCAACACCTAATAGAGTACGGTTAGTGTGTTGTCTACCTTGCAGCAGTCGAAATAATTTGTTGTAAAATGTGGTAGACGCACAGAAAACTGTTGTGTGTGGTAAAAGTGTGTAATAGATGGAGTCATTTTTGTAAAAATAAAATAAAACCTTATTTCCTCGGCTTCAACGCCGGCCTTTATGTAGATAAGATAAGCGCTCACTTGTATAACATCATAAATTACATGAAATAGGAAACATTTTAATTCTTCATTTTTCTCTTTTCTAAACATTTAAAAAATTGATGGAGCGGGTTTGGTTATACAAGGGCGGAAACTAAATTTGGCCTCCACATATAAAATTATGAGATTGGACAAGGAAAGATTTTATTAGAATAATAAACACAATTTTTGTTTTTCCATAATAAATATATTATTATACCGGGTGGTGACGCACCATAGGAATTGCAATAGAAATTTTTTCATTTCTGATTATTGACTTCTCTAATTATTTTAGAGAGAAAGTCTATTTAGGTTTTTTGTAGGGAAAAAAATTACGAATCCATGCATACTATAGCTTTTAATTTTCTGAACTTTGAATTCAAGAAATTGGATAATTAAAAACTGGCGCTTTTAAGAAAATCAGTGCTGCCATGGCAATTTGAGATCAAACATGGCAAATGCAGGCGCTTTTGTTTGATTTCCTAACTCCATGGAATTACCGACTTTATAAACGCGACAGTTTTTAATTTTTAAATTTTTACTGATTCTGAATTTATACAATACGAAACAAGAGTATGTACGGATTCGTTTATATAATTCGAGGTAAACTTTCACTCACGCCTTTGACGCTCCCGACGAAGGCGACGACGGGCGACTTCAGCGCCCCCCAGACTTGGCGTCCAGGGCCTGGGCCCCCCTCGCCCCTCCCCCTCTGTGGTGACCAATGCTCATGACGAAAGTGGGTGGATAGAAAATTAACCCGCGGTACAACACAGCAAAGTTATATATTTTTATTCACATTAAAAATCTAACATGTCACTGCACGTACAAAAAAAACTAACTGGAAGCGTCAGTTGGTACGCTTGTTTTTTTCTCCAGTGGAGACCTCTTAATATTCACTACAGTCTCCCCTGCTATATAATTCATCTGGTAATCGCTCAGGTAGGGTGGTGGTCTATGGTTTCGATTTGATCTTCGTGGTGGTTCTGGACGATCTGCTTCTGGAATCAGAATCTGCTCCATTTCTTGTCGATCTAAACTACGTGGTAAAATGGCAGGTTGGTATTCTTCTTCATATTCCAATGGTTTTTGGATTTGTGGCTCCTCTGGTAGGTTGAAGGTTACTTGCTTAGGTGCATTTCTTCTGAGCTGGTTTACGTGTCGTTTCACTATTCGGTCGTTTTCTAATCGGACAAGGTAATGTAATTTCCCTAGGCATTTTACTACCGTTCCTGGCTTCCAGGTCCGTTTGTTTTGTATGTAAAATTCGGCTACAATGTCCTCTCCCGCTTGATGTGAACGTGCACGACGTTTTTGCAGGTCTTGATTCGGTGTAGGAATATGAAGAAACATTGAGTCTAAACGGATTCTGAATTTTCTGTTTAAATATTGTTCTGCTGGTGTCTTTCCATTTAGTAACGGTGTCGCTCGATATCGGAATAATATTTTCATAATTTTTGTTTCCAATGGGATCCTTTCCGTTGACATTGATTTTAATTTGTTTTTGAGAGTTTGTACATTTCTCTCGGCCAGTCCGTTCGTGGCAGGATGTCCTGGTGCGATAAATTTTTGGAAAATAGCGTTATTCTTACAATACGTTCTGAACTCGTTACTCGTGAAAATTGTGGCATTGTCTGATACCATTTCTTTTGGATATCCATTTCGAGAGAAAATTCTGTTTAAAAGTTCCATGGTGTTTTCTGAATTAGGATGTTCTCGTAGGACTTCCATTTCGGCCCACCTTGACTTCGCATCTATGCATAAGAGGATGTAGACATGATCGATGGGTCCTGCGTAGTCGATATGTACTCTGTCCCAATTCTCTTGAGGTAGTTCCCAGCGATGAACTTCAGCTTTGGGTGGTGAATGGAGCCTTTTCTTGCATTCTTCACATGCTCGAACGATGTTTTCAATTTCTTTGTCGATGTTTTGCCAATAACAATAGCGTCGTGCCAGCTGTTTCATTTTGGTGCTCCCTAGGTGTGTTGAGTGTAAGTCGTTTAAAATATCAGCTTGCATTGTCTTCGGTATGACAATCCTATGGCTCCTGTATAAGACTCCGTCGTTTAAAAGGAATTCAGATTCGATGCGTTGAGTCTTCATTTGTTCGATAATTTTGCACAGTTCGGAATCCCTTCCAGTCTCGTACTTTATACGCTCATATCCCATTTGGTCTGTCGAGATATTGAATACCTGTTCGTGGTTAACTTGATCGAGTTCTTCGTCAAATGCTGTTTCAATTTTTCCTTTGTCATCATGTAGTGGTGCTCGTGATAAACAATCAGCGTTGGTGTTATCGATGCCTTTCTTAAACTGTACTTTATAATCAAACGTTGATAAAAATGAAGCGTAGCGAATGAGGCGTGACGATGTGGTTTTCGATGCTTTTGATTTCGAGTTAAAAATCCGCACTAAAGGTTGATTGTCGGTGCTCAATGTAAAGCTTTTTCCAATTAAATACTGTTGAAAATGACTAACACCATAAACGATCGCCAATGCTTCTCGATCGAGCTGGGAATAATTCTGCTCGGCCCTGGTTAAGGATCGGGACGCAAATGCAATTGGACGTTCATCGTTGGCTGTAGAATGGGATAACACAGCTGCAATTCCATATGGACTGGCATCGGTGGTTAATAAAACTGGTTGCTCGGGGTCATACGGTACAACAACTCGGTCACTGGCAATTTCCATTTTCAAATTGTTGAATGCTTGGTTGCACTCTTGATTCCATAAGAACTGATTATCGTGTTGTAATAATTTTCGTAAAGGTGCAGTCATGCTCGATAGATTTGGGAGTAATCTTGCGTAATAAGTTATCATGCCGAGAAATCGCCGGACATCTGCAACATTTTTCGGATTAGGTATGTTCAATATGGCTTTTACCTTATCGGGTGACTTTGCAATGGTGTTTTTTCTTATGATGTATCCTAGATACTCGATTTCGTTCTGAAAAAAACTGCACTTTGCCTCGTTCAGGTGAAGATCGTTTTCTTGCAATTTGGTTAAGCATTTAATTAAATTGCTGTAGCATTCTTTGTAAGAGTTACCATGCACAATTATGTCGTCAAAATATGAGGTTGTTTTTGGACAGTCCCGTAGAATCTGATCAATGACTCGGTTAAACTCAGCTGGAGCCGTTTTAATTCCGAAACTCAAACGATTTACATGATATGTCCCCTGGTGGGTAGACATAGTTTGTATTACACTGCTGTCTTTGTCTACACGTAAATGTAAATATGCCTTATAAAGGTCGAGTCTACAGAAGTAAGACGAATCCCGCAAACTGTTAAGGACTTCGTCTACGCGCTTAATGGGGTAGTTCACGTTCACTAAACTGTCATTTACGGCAACTTTATAATCGACACAAAGCCGCACTCCTCCTTGTGGTTTTTGTACCACCACAAGTGGTGAACCCCAGTCACTTACATCACATTTACTTATAATTCCGGCAGATTCTAACATTTCTAATTCGTGACTAACTTTATCGCGTAACGCATATGCAACACTCCGTTCTCGTGTGTACACAGGTTTGACATTATCGCGAAGCGCTAACTTAATCACTACATTCGGAACGCATCCCACTTTTTGTTCGAAGATATTGGGAAATTGTTCACGCACCGACTCAATTGAATTTATGTAATCACTATGGATTTGTGTTAATTTTTTACTGGTCTGTTTATCGATTTCCTGTAATTGAATGTTTAGATGGCGAATCCATTCGCGACCTACTAATGGATCATACCCCTCAGGCACTACGTATAGATCCTCTAATGTGGGATTTTGATTATTGTGGTATTGAACCATTACTTGTACTTTCCCATGTGGTTGAAAGGTTTGACGTGTGTAAGTACGAAATGTTAGGTTAGACGGTTTCAGTTTTTGTTTGCAGTTAAGTTTATCGAAAAGGTCTTTTGGAAGTAACGTGAATCCCGCTCCGGAGTCAAATTGAATTGCTTGTCCTTCGACATTGATGAATGTGTAGTATTTACGGGTATCGTCTCCTTCGGATGAATATACATCTTCAATACGATTCACACTGAAATTATCAATGTTGTAGGTAGTATTATGTGCACTACTATCACGTTTTGATTTGATTAACGTTGAAATGCAAACATTCGCAACATGTCCTTGTTTGCCACAACCGGTACACTTTAAGTTTGTTTGTTGTACACGACAGTCTTTTGACGTATGGTTGTCACGACCACAGAATAAGCACATATTGTCAATTCCTAACTCACGGTAGTTTACCCGGCCTCGTGAAGAATTACGATTTTGGTGTGACTGTTGTCGATAGTTGCGTGATGATGACCTATGACGATTATGATCCGGCTTTCGATTGTGCTTAGAATTTTGGCTCTGACGTTTCGTAAATTGTCCTTCTCTGCTCGGAATCACACTATTTATTGATGTATTTGTTGATGGAGTTGAAGTTTTCGCTAAATTTTGACTATCAGTTCGAGCTGCTTCTAAAGCTATTGCCTTTTTCACGATTTCGTTAAATTCTGTGAGGTTTGACTGGAGTAACTGCTCGGTGATCCAGGTATCTTTCAACCCTCGAATAAACTGCGCTCTTAAAAATTGTTCCGCTGTTGAAACCTCTTGAGTACATTGACACTTTGCCAGGAAGTTGCATGCCCCTAAATTTTTCTTCAGTTCAGTAACGTATTCACTGATGCTCTGTTTTCCAGACTGGTAAGTTGATAAAAAATAGTGTTGGGCCACGAGCATGTTCCGCTCAGGTGACAAATGTTTCTCTAAATGGGTAATCAGCTCATCGTATGATAGTTCGGATGGCTTTTGTGGCGCTACTAAGGCATTTATTGTCTGGTAGTGTGTCGCTCCAATAGACCCTAGAAGTAGGCAAGCGGACTTGGTCTTGTTATCAAACACTTCCTTCATGCGCAAGTAATTTTCGAATCGTTCCCTGTATAACTTGAAGTCTTCCTTCTTGGCGTCATACTGCTCGAATGGGGGGATGTTTGGATTTACTGACGGTGCTGTTAACGGCGTAGCTCTAGTCTGGTCAATTTGTAGAAATGCAGCAGCAACGGCGGCAGTAATTTGCGCTAGTTGTTCTGGTGAAATTGCGGCCATTTTGTTATAATTCTAACGGCAATGTGGACCTATTCAATTCGTCTGCTCTTTTTACTTCTCTCGTCGCCAATTTCACTGTGGTGACCAATGCTCATGACGAAAGTGGGTGGATAGAAAATTAACCCGCGGTACAACACAGCAAAGTTATATATTTTATTTCATACTGTCCGGTAGATGTTCGATTACACTATCATTTTGAGTCCAGTAGGTGAGTTATTACAGCATCAGAGCCGGTAAGTGTCGCTAAGCAACACTTACCGGACTGTTATTTGTATACATCAAATTTGATATCTTCACACAATTAATTAAAAACCCCAATATAAATTTGGCTGTAATTCTTTATTTCAAACATTAACATTGATTGTAATTAAACAATTTGTATTGCCCTCAACACTAACGCCTGGGTTATTACTGGATGTCGAGTTAGTAATGTTTGATTCCTTCTGCTGTAGAACTTCAATGAAATTTTCGCCGCCTTATATCAGTTGTATCATACGGGCAATCTTAACTTTTCCTTCTATACCTTCGACGTATTTTTCTGCCGTCGATGAGCTTTTCCATGCCCCATGACGCTTTAACACCGAAACCCAGGCAAAAAAATCTCAATTCAAAAACTTACTGCATCCAAACAGTATGCCAACATGACGTTTTCCTCTACTTGTTTGGCCCCATGTTCGTTCCTCAATTGGCAAAACACTTAGTACTCTTTTTCATACCTTGCAGCCGACTTCTTAGGAACCAACTTTTCGGTTGTTTCATGAGATTTCGACAGGATTGTATCGGGAACAGTGGAACATCCCACAACGTTTATAGCGTCCATTTTTCAGTGAAAAAATTCAATGTCAACCACATGTCAACAAACTACAAACTATAGCAACGGCCGTTACCACAGAAACAAGGTAATGCGATTTTTACAATATAATGAAATTTTGTAATCTTTGAAATGAAATAATGATACAAAACAGACTTACAGTATGAAATAAAATACGTTACGATATACGTCCGGTAGTACTTGTAACAGTACTCGTTTAAGACATTCTTGACTCGGCTCCTGACGTCGCCTCGTCCATAATGTCTAACTCGTACTGTTACAAGTAACCTACCGGACTTATAACGTAAATAACTATTTATTCACATTAAAAATCTAACATGTCACTGAACGTACAAAAAAAACTAACTGGAAGCGTCAGTTGGTACGCTTGTTTTTTTCTCCAGTGGAGACCTCTTAATATTCACTACACCCTCGCACGGCCTTGCCTACCTATATGTATCTGTGCTAATACCATCACAAATTTTTTTGATTAGGGGAGGGAGCACTTAACGAACTTTATTTTATGTCAATGTGTAGGGTCAACTTAGTCCAGTCAAATTAGCTCCAACAGTATTCTGAACTGGATGTTGGCATTTCACACAACGAAACCAAGTGTATTCTATGTAGTTCACTGCCCGGAAGCTCCCGGAACATATTGCTATACACAAAAAAAAACAAGAAAAAATGGAAAAATGCAGTTTTTTTCGCATTTGACTTCCAATTATCTCGTCAACTATTGCTCGAGCTCATAGAAATGAATTTGTTTAGAATCGAATTTTCAGTTGGTACCAGGGCTCGGAATCGGACCGGAACGAGGTTTCGTTGAGTGAAGTGACAACACACTAAACCGGCAGACAGTAATAGATATAAAACTATAAACCATCTCGAGGATCGCTATTAAAACTTTGCTTTGTGACAATTTTCGTAGGTAATTGCACAAGTGCATCAAAATGCTCTTTTAACAAATTATGAAGTGTAACTTCAGCGCATTTTCCATAAATTGATCAATACTTCCCCAAAGGCCATACCTATGTGCGCTACGTTTTTCATTACTAGACGCATATATGGTTAAAATTTTAAAGAAATATCTTCATAAATAAGGAAGTTGACACTTACTGCGCAGTTGATATTGCGCGTCCTGCGCATGCGCTTATTAATGTGATATTTATAAAATGCAATACGTTTACTTTTACTATAAGTATCTTTGGTTAAAATTTCAAAGAAATATCTCCATAAAGAAAGTTTGCATTGCGCAGTCTGCGCATGCGCACATCTGATTTTTACTATATGCGATATAACGGGCGATCAAAAATGAGTTGCTGTCGAGTTGCCTTTGAAAGTTCAAGTTAAATACGATTTTCCATGTAAACAAAAATTCCAAAGGTAACTCGACAGCAACTCATTTTTGATCGCATTGTATTTGTCTTTACTACAAGTATCTGTGATTAAAATTTCAACAAAATATATTAATAAATAAAAAAGTTAACATTGCGCAGCCTGCGCATGCGCAGTTCAATCGTCAAGATTTTCTTTGACTCAGGTGCCAGAGCGATACGCTACCGAATGCAAAAAGAACGAACTAAATATCTTCAAAAACTGTAGGAGTAGTTAAGGCCTCGGACAGACGGACGAACAGAGAAAGTGGTTGCAATAGCACACCCAACTTCGTTGGAAAATGCGCTAAAAATTATCAGGATTATTTTGATGCACGAGTGTAATTCGGGGGAATATTTCCCGAATAAACATTACAAACTCACCTTACCTACTTATAAAATTGTTAAGTGTATTCCCATGAAATGTGAAATTATCGCAGGGCTCTTTCGTTTTCTACAATGCAATTACCGCTGTAATTGACCGATAATTGCACACCTCAAATGGGATGTATTACATATGAGGCAAATATTCATTCGAAAATTTGCTTACGTTTAGGTTTTCTTTATCCAAGTTAAATGAAGTTAAATTGCTGATTGCAAGATTTATTCCACAAACGGAGAGACAAGTACTTAGGCAAGTAGAGTATGTAGGTATATAAAAAACACGGAGATTACACTTTTTTCGAGAATTCGAAAAGTGGTGCAAGTTATATCGTTTCTTATGCACCCAAAGACAACGAGTAATACGTAATTGCGAATATGAAGTGATATTTGCTTTGTATGTGTACCTGCAAAGATTATCAGCACTTCGCCTCAGATGTAAATTATGGGGATTTCTTGTGGGACAGCTTTCTAACAAAAAAGTATCAATACTTCTTTCCCTAGACAATTTGCAAAACCATTCCAATAAAAGAAATCTGTAGAAGAACCAACACATTGTTGTATGCGCTAATAGATGGAGCAAAATAGAGGGATAGCAGGTTTTTAAATAAGGGGACATTTGACACAAAACTTAGCGTGCTTTTTCCCCTTAAGATTGACCGTCTGTAGTATATGTTGTCTGTGCTGTTACTGACCCTCGGCGGTAAAAACTGGAACCATTTGAAAAAACTACAATTTTTATGGTATGGGTGATATGTATTCCGCCTAATTACATAACTTACGAAAGATAAGTAAACACTTGAATTACGGTTTACGAAGTAACGGGCAATCAAAAATGAGTGGTGGTCAAGTAGCCTTTGGAAGGTACGTTTTCCGTTATTTTTTCATCCAAGCGTTTTCCCATGTAAACAAAAGTTCCAAAGGTGACTCGACAACTCATCATTTTTGATCGCATAGTATGTTTAGAAAGATGTACCTAAACGTGATTTTGTTACTTTTATTGTAGGTATAACAAAGTGTGATCATTACTTTAAATTTATGCAAGGATCAAGGTTGGACTAGTACAAAGGACGTCATATGATGTACACCGCCAATGAAATGGCGTGCGTTCGTTTACCAAATGGGGAAGATATGAAACCTATACCTAAGCATTTGTAGTTTATAGTTAAATTGATGTGAGGTGGGTTATGGTATACAAGGTCGACGAAATTTGGG